GATTGAGCTTTTTGTCAATTTTACAAAAACAAAAACTTTTTGATTGTGATTGAAATAAAAATATTTGCATTTTAATCATTGAAAATGTATGATTCAGTGGCACTTAGTGGTTTCATTGTTGTAACTATTACCTCCATTTCCAAAACTTTTTCATCATCCCAAACAGAAACCTTGTACCTATTAAGCAACAACTCCCAACTCTACTGGTCTCTCTGCTCCTGGTAACCTTTATCCTACTTTTTTGTGGTCATGAATTTGCATATTTTATCTGCTTCACATAAATGAGGTCATTTATCCTTTTGTGATTTATTTCACTGAACACACCGTTTCCAGAGTTCATTAATATAGAGGCTGAAAAAATTAATGGTTGCATTTCAAAATATTTTCGCACCAAAGTAAGAATTCGTTAATCCCACAGGCTTTTAGAAAAGTCCATATTATGTCAGAATTTCATTCCCTGTGGATCTGAATATTTCATTATGTATTTATTGTATTTTGTTAATCCATTCATCTGTTGATGGGCACTTTGGTTGATTACACTTTTTAGTTGTTAATGCCATTGTGCCAGGTTGTTCAAATAACCTATTTCAGTTCCAGTTTTCATTTCTTCTGAATATATACCTAGTAGAATTACTGGGTGATACAATAAACCTGCTTAATTTTCTTAGAAATTCTGAACTGTCTCATAGTTTACCAGCTGTGTATTGAGGTCCAATATTTCTACATCTTAGCAACATTTGATAATTTCTGTGTTTTAAAAAAGAAAAATAGCCGTCCTAGTGAGTGCAAAATGATGTCACCATGGTTGGTTTTGATTTTGTCTTTTCCTTGTGATTATGAGTGTATTCTATTGTTCTCTGAGGAACTGCCTAAGACGTTGGCTCATTCTTATCTCAGGTTGTTTGGCCTTAGCTGTGCTGGGTTAGGTGACTTGGAGTCTCAGGGACAAGGCATCTGTCCTTGAAGCCTGTAAAAAGCTGGAGATGGTGAGATGACTGCAAGCTTCGGGATGTAGGACATTGCATCTTGGGAGAGGAAAACTGAAGGTGCACGGCAGGAGAAACAGGGTGGGACAGGCTAAGAAGGGAAGACAAGGGGCGGAAGAGAAATACCGTGACATAAATATGAACAGTTACGAAGAATATGGCATTTGGTGTTGAACAGCTGAAGGGTCCTGCGTCGAAATTTCTTATTTTCTAGTACTAAAGAGCTGGGGGTAGAGCATGAAGAAGGAGGAAAAAGTTTTGAAAATCTGTTTGGAGAACAGTAGAGATTACCTCAACCATAGTAGTAATATCTAATCTTGAATTTGTACTAGACTCATGGTTACAAACCAAGAAGGAAAAAAAGCAACAAGAGGGTGTTTGGAGAAAATCAAGTGACACTTAAAAAAAAATAATACAGAAGGAATGAGATAAAGGAAGATTTTAGTTGTAATAAATGAGGCCATAATCACAGCCCATAAAGTCTGGAAATTTGGGTCCACTGTTGTGGTCTAGGCTAAGCTGCTGTTTGCAGTAACTGCATCTCATGAGGGCACCAGTTCAAGCCCTAGCTGCTGTGCTTCCAATTTAGCTCTAAAACCAGTGGGAGATGGCCCAAGTGCTTGGGCCCCTGCTCCCTTGTAGGAGAATGGATGAAACTCCTGGTTTCTGACTTTAGCCCTGCCCGATCCTAGCCATTGTGGTCATTTAGGGAGAAAGCCAGTGGATGGTAGTTTTATCTCTGTCACTCTGCCTTTCAAACAATAAAAAAAAAGAGTAAGGGAACACAGAATACAGATTATGGAGTTAATGAATAGGAGAGTCTCAAGAGATTTTAGAAATTGCGACATAAATTACAGAAAGAATTTTTAAACTGTCATCCAGAAATTAGAAGAATTTAATGCTTTAACTATAAAGAAATATTAAATATTTGAGGGTATATATAGGTATACCTGATTGAACATGTTTGGAAATAGCACTCAGTTCTCCATAAATATGCACAGTTTGTCAATTAAAAATCATTAAAAGGTTATAATCAGGAAAATTCTGTAACTTAAAGTACTTTATACATTGGGAAACTATAAGGTCCAATTTAAAATAATAAAAAATGCTCATCGTTGGTTATTTAACAGTTAATTTTAGGTAAGAAGTAATTGTTGGGGTGGGTACTGAACACAGTGGTTGAGTTGCTGCTTGGTTACACCTGCATTCAGTTGCAGATGCCTGGTTCAAGTCCCAGCTGCTCTACTTTGGATCTCCATTCCTGCTGCTGCACACTTGGGCAGCATTTGACGGCCAAGTTCTTGGTTCCCAGGCAATCACTTGTGAGACCTGCAGAGTTGATTCTGTCTCAGACTAGGTTACTGCCGACACTTGTGAAGTGAGCTAGCCGATGAAAGAAATCCCTCTCTCCCTCTCTCTCCCCAAACCAAAGTGAACATAAATAAGTAATTGCTGAGACTGACATTGAAGGAATTTTTTTCTTTTTAATATTTATTTGAAAGGCATATTTATAGAGTGAAGGAGAGACAGAGAGAAATTTCTTGCATCAGCTGATACACTCCCCAGATGACCACATCAACCAGAGTTCAGCCTGTCTGAAGCCAAAAGCCTCTTCTGGGCCTGCCACATGAGTGCAGGATCACAAAGACTTAGGCCATCCTCCAATGTTTTCCCAGCCTATAAGCAGGGAACTGGATGGGAAGTAGAGCAGACAGGATGTGAACTGGCAGGATGCTGGTGCTTACAAGTAGAGGATTAGCTAATTTGAACCATCATGCTGACTCCATGAAGAAGCTTTTAAGGGCTTATTCCCACAACTGTGGTGACTAAAAAGTTCCAGAATAAGCATCTGCACCTGAAGAACCAGGGAAGAGGGTAGTATGGTTTAGTTCAAAACCATAGGTCTCAGAGCCAGAGAAGTCAGTGACTTAATTCTCATACTGAAACTATACTGAAACTTGTGCCTGAGAACACAATGGGGTAAGAACAGCTGTGTAATCTGGAGTTATGGGGATTGGCGCCATAGCTCAGTAGGCTAATCCTCCATCCTGTGGTGCCAGCATCCCATATGGGCACCAGTTCACATTTTAGCTTCTCCACTTCTGATCTAGCTCTTTCTTTATGGCCTAGGAAAACAGCGGAATATGACTCAAATCCTCGGGGCCCTTGTACCCACGTGGGAGACATGGAAGAGGCTCCTGGCTCCTCACATAAGATCAGATCAGCTCTAGTTGTTGCAGCCACTTGGAAAGTAAACCAGTGAATGGAAGATTTTCTCTCTGTAAATATTTCAAATAAAAATAATTCATTAGGGCCTGGCACGATGGCATAGTGGTTAAGGTGCTAGTTTGCATGCCTGAGATCCCATATGGGCACCAGTTCTAATCCCGGCAGCCCTGCTTCCCATCCAGCTCCCTGCCTGTGGCCTGGGAAAAGCAGTCGAGAACGGCCCAAAGCTTTGGGAGACCCGGAATAGGCTCCTGGCTTCGGATTGGCTCAGCTCTGGCCGTTGCAGCCACTTGGGGAGTGAATCATCGGACAGAAGATCTTCCTCTCTCTCTCCTCTCTGTATATCCGCCTTTCCAATAAAAAAAATAAATCTTTAAAAAAAAATTCATTAAAAAAAAAAAAGCAAAAACTCTGGAGTTAGGAAGTATAAGGGCAGAAGCAAGGTGTCCCAGCTCCAGAGGAGAGAACAGTTTCATCCTGTGTTCTTCCTTTTTTGTTCCTTTTGGGTCTCTAGCTGATTGGATGGTGCCCACCCACATTGAGGGTGCATTACTCCCACTCATTCAGCTGACTCAAACCAATCTCCTTCAAAAAACACAAACCTCCCCAAATAATGACTTTGTCATCTGAGTATTTTTTAATTTGAAAAACCAACTTACCCACAGAGAGTGATCCTACATTTTCTGTATCCCCACGTGGCTGCAGTAGCCACAGATGGACCAGGCCAAAGCCAAGGGTCTCTCCCAGGTCTCCCAGGTGGATGCAGGGACATGAGCATTTGAACCATCTTCTGGCTGCTCTCCCAGGTGTTTTAGTAGAGAGTAAGATAGGAGATGGAGCACCAGGACCTCTGTTCTGTGGCCCATGAGAATCTGGTATCAGAGGCAAAAGCTTAATGCACTACACCAAATGCTGACCCTATTTCAGTATTTCATAATCCAGTCAGTTGGACACCTAAAATCAACCATTAGAAATATCACACAAAGTATCTTCTCTGACTACAAAATGAAGAATCAAAATAACAAACAGATGTAACAACATACTTCGAAACATCCAATAGATAAGAAGAAATTACAAGGGAAACTAGAGAATATTTAAAGATTACTGGAAATGAAAACATCATTGCAAAACCTGGACTAAGAGGACAATTTATGGCTATGACATTTATATCACTTCTTTTGTTTTTATTGGAAAGGCAGATTTACAGAGAGAGAAAGATCTTGCATCCACTGGTTCACTCCCTAAGTGGCTGCAGCTGCCGGAGCTGAGCTCATCCTAAACCAGGATCCGGGAGCTTCCAGGCCTTCCATGTGGATGCAGGGTCCCAAGGCTTTGGGCAGTGCTTGCCTGCTTTCCCACGTCATAAGCAGGGAGCTTGATGGGAAGTGGAACAACCAGGACATGAACTGGTGCCCATATGGGAAGCCCGTGCTTACAAGCCAAGGATTTAGCCATTGATGGGCCGTGAAATTTATATTAATGAAAATCCAATATTACAACTGATGGACCAATAAAAATAAAGAAGTGAATTCGGAAGTAACAGAAAGTATTTAATAAACCATGTAATTGCTAGGAATCCTAAATAGTAAATTGATAAACTGATCTTAAAATTGTTTTAAATTATGTCTGGGTCTGTGCTTAAATAGGATGTTTTAGGTTTTCTGTTTGAGTAAATTGTTTGTCTTTACAAAGCAAGTTTTACTGCCCAAATGAACCAGATTTTCTGAAACATTGGTTGCAAAATATCAAGTGATATTTACGTTAAACTATATAATTTTATTTCAGGTTACAGTGTAGAATTGTGGAAGTCCTCCCTCCGTCACATCAGAATGGTTTTGCCAATGGCCATGTTGCCGTTGTGGATGGAGATACCATTGTCATCAGCGATAGTGATGATTCCGAATCACAAAGCTGTTCTTTTCAAAACAGGTAAATGAGTTTTGTTAATGTTTGAGTTTTCAGATCGGCTAATTGTATTGTATTGAAATGATGTTTTTCTTTATTCCAACCTTTGTTCTTTCCTATACCACCCATCTAAATAATCTGGCTCAACAACTGATGGTAGAATTTCAAATTGAAACTTGCATAGATAATCAGGTGCTTAAGTGCAATTTAATTTAACCTTCATACAGTTATACTTTCCATTTTTGCTTATATGGAAAGAAATCATTCTGCACAATTTTTTAAGATTTATTTAAAAATGAAAGGAGAGAGAGGATTTTTGTCTGCTGGTTCACTCCCCAAATGGCCACAATGGCCAAGAACTGAGCTGATCCAAAGCTGGGAACCAGGAACTTCTTGCTAGTCTGCTACATGGGTGCAGGGGCCAAGTACTTGGGCCAACCTCTGCTACTTTAGCAGGCTATAAGTAGGAAACTGGATTGGAAGTAGAGCAGGTGGGATACGAATGGCCCCAATTCTGTACTTGTAACATACTAACACTTATTTGCTTTATGGTACACATGGTGAAGAAATTTTTGGGCCCAGCGTGGTAGCCTAGCGGCTAAAGTCCTCACCTTGCATACACTGGGACCCCATATGGGCACTGTTTCTAGTTCTGGTGGCCCCGCTTCTCATCCAGCTCCCTGCTTGTGGCCTGGGAAAGCAGTCGAGGACAGCCCAATGCCTTGGGGTCCTGCACCTGTGTGGGAGACCTAGGAGAGGCTCCAGGCTCAGGCTTCAGATTGGCACAGCTCTGGCCATTGCAACCACTTGGGAGTGAGTCAACACATGGAAGATATTCCTCTCTGTCTCTCCTCTATCTGCCTTTCCAATAAAAATAAGGCTTTAAAAAAAAGGAAGGAAGGAAGGAAGGAAGGAGAGAGATAAGAAAGAAAGAAGGTAATTCTAGCCATTAAAAGAAATTCTAGCCAGTAAAATTTGGTCAATCAGAGAACCTTTATGTGCTATTCGAGAAAAGTCAGTATATTTAAATAGGTATCTTGTAAATTTTTGAATATTTATTTATTTGAAAAGCAGAATATACAGAGAGTGAAATAGAAAGGAATCTTCCATTTACTGGTTCTCTCCCCAAATGGCTTCAACAACCAAAGCTGGATTAGTTTGAAGCCATGAGCTTTTTCTGAGCCTCTCATATGGGTGCAGGAACCCAAGCGGATGGAGCATCTTCCACTGCTTTCCCTGGCACATTAACACAGACCTGGATCAAATGTAGAGCAGCCAAGACTAGGACTAGTGCCCATATGGAATACTGACACCACCGGCAGTGTCTTTACCCTCCACATTACAGCTCCGGGTCTGGTATATTGTAATCTGCAGGCTCAATTTAGACTGCATGTGATGAAAAATCCTTTTACCTGTCTGGCCTCAGCATTCATCTCTGCTTTCAACAGTCATCTCTGTCAGTAATCCCTGTTGGATTTTGTCAAACATTGTAACGTTTAAGTTGAGTTCATTTTTAATCAGAGGAGTGTATACTCACTCCTCTGCTTTCACACATCTCTGCTTTCTGGAGCCTTCTTTAATCTCTTCATTTGCTCTCCTTTATGCATCTCAAACTCTTGACTACCTCTCTAGTTACTTTGCTCTTGAAAAATGCCAAGTTCTGTCTTGAAGAACCTGTAATTCAGGTTTTCATTCTGTGTGATGTAAGCTATTCTAGGTAGCAAGAAACAGCATTTGGAGTTGATTATGACCAGGCACTTGGCCAACTGCTGTTTGTGTGAAGAATATTATTATTATTATTCAGCATGGAAGAACCTAACACTTAGAAGGTTAATTGACTTCACACAAGATCATCAAATTAGTACTTTGCCTGACAGAATAAATTACTTTTAAATTTTATTTTTTTATTTTTTAAAAATATTTTTTATTTTTATTGCAAAGTCAGATATACAGAGAGGAGGAGGGACAGAGAGGAAGAGCTTCCATCCCATGATTCACTCCCCAAGTGACCTCAACTGCTGGTGCTGAGCCAATCTGAGGCCAGGAGCCAGGAACCTCCTCTTCCAGGTCTTCCACACAGGTGCAGGGTCCCAAGGCTTTGGGCCGTCCTTGACTGTTCTCCCAGGCCACAAGCAGGGAGCTGGATGGGAAGTGGAGTTGCTGGGATTAGAACCAGCACCCATATGGGATCCCGGCACATTCAAGGGAAGGATGTTAACCGCTAGGCCGTGCTGCCGGGCCCTTGACTTTTATTAACTTAAGTGAATCAATGGAATATGACATGATCCTGTATCATATCTGTTGGTAGTCTGATTTTTTTCCTATTATTATAACTAATAAACAGCAAAATAAACTGCTGTATCATGTGTTTTATCTAAGTAAATACAGGGTTTGGGATGCAAAGTCATTGGTATTATGTTAGTATATATTCTTCAACAGTTCTGTCAGTAATCCCTGTTGGATTTTGTCAAACATTGTAACCTTTAAGTCAAATTCATTTTTTTTTTTTTTAAAGATTTATTTTTATTATTTTTTCATTGGAAAGGCGGATATACAGAGAGGAGAGACAGAGAGGAAGATCTTCCGTCCGATGATTCACTCCCCAAGTGAGCGCAACGGGCCGATACTATGCCGGTCCGAAGCCAGGAGCCTCTTCCGGGTCTCCCACGGGGGTGCAGGTTCCCAAAGCTTTGGGCTGTCCTCTGCTGCTTTCCCAGGCCACAGGCAGGGAGCTGGAAGGGAAGCGGGGGTGCCGGGATTAGAACCGGCGCCCATATGGGATCCCGGGCGTGCAAGGCGAGGACCTTTAACCACTTGCGCCACCGCGCCGGGCCCGTCAAATTCATTTTTAATCAGAGGAATGTACACACACACACACACAGAGAAGTACAAGTGAAAGCATACATCCTACTGGGGTTCCTGTCACCTGTGTGGGAGACCTAGATGGATTTCTGGCTTCTTGCCTAGGCCTGAGCCAGCCCTGGCTGTTGTGGGCAATTGGGTAGTGACCCAGCAGATGGAATATAGCTTTATGTTATTCTCCCTCTCCCTTTGTCATTCTTCTTTTCAAATGAGTAAATCTTTTTAGGCAGCTTTATCCATGGGTGTTTATTGCCCCAGTTAAACTGTTGTTTGGGACACCTGGGTTAAGGTCTAGTGCTGTTTCCATTGCGGGTTCCTGCTCAAGTGCACCCTGAGAGGCAGCAGTGATCGCTCCAGCAGGGACACCAAGACCGGGTTCTCAGCTCCAGGCTTCAGCCTGCCAGGCATTTTGGGAGAGAATGAGCACGTGAAATCTGTCTTCTTGTCACTTGCTCTTTCTTTTTCTACATCCTCCCTCCTCTTTTTTTTTTTTTTCAAACTGCATGTTCCTTTATTATTCTTATTTTTTTATGTTGCATTATGTAACACAGTTGTAGGTACTGGGGAGTGAATTTTTAGCCTAGTGGATAAGATGCCTACTTCGACCATTGGAGTGCAGGAATTTGATTTCTGGCTCCATCGTCCTAGCAGTGCAGGCCCCAGGGACAGTGTGATTCCTCCAGCAGTTAGGTTTGTGCCAACTACTTGAGGAGGCGTGGATTGTATTCTAGCTCCCAGCTTCGGTAGTGTTTTTTTTTTCCCCAGCTTTTAGTAGTTTTTTGGAAAGTGACCCAGTAAATGAGAATTTACTTAGTGCAGCTGGAAAAAAATATATAGTTCATATATATTTTTCAATCTGTTTATTTTCATTTTATTTGAGCTGAACTGCCAGGGCTGCACCAGGCCAAAGGCAGGAACCTACACTCCATCTGGATGTCCCCTGAGTGAAAGAGACCCAAGCCCTTAATCTTTAAAGCTGCTACATTCCCGGAGTGTGCATTTGCAGGAAGCTATGTCTGAAGTAACTTCAGCCACGCACTCTGGTAATGCAGCAGCATCTTAACCATGGAATCAAATGCCTGTCCCTAAAAATGGTTTATATTTTAAAGCTACTTTATACTAAACTGCTTTTTTAAAAATTATTTATTATTTTGTTTACTTGAAAGGCTTCAGCTTTGCCAAGTCCTGGCCATTGTATATCTTAAATTTAGAATTATTTATGCATTGTAAGCAAATTTAAATCTTTTTTAAAAATAAAAAGAGAAAAAGAAAATTTTAATGTGTGGGAATAAGGCTAACATGGTAAGTCAATCTTAACAAAGTCATTACGAGTAACCATCTGAGCTTGAAGCTCAACTCACTTAATGGATTGTCACAGCAGAATAGTTGTAGAGACCATCACTTGGTAATTTTCCTTAGAACAAACCTCTACATGGAAAATTATAGGGACTTTTTGCTTTTGTTGTTTTCTCATTTTTGTTGTATCTAGAAAAATGTAAAGTTCTTACTTTAGTATGTTTACATGTCCATAAGATAGCAACAAAATGATTTTCATTACAATAAATAAAAGTAGGATTAAGCTTGACATATTTCAGTGCTTACGTAAGCATAATGAAGCATACATTTGTAAAATTTTTTAAAATGTTGTGAATAAGTACAGTAGTACCTCAACATCCAGGGGCGACTCATTCTAGAAATCCATACCCCACCTCATTCCCCCTAGCAGTCAGAATCTGCAGATGCTAAAGTTGCTTATGTAAAATGATATGGTATTTGCCTTTAGCCTAGCTATATCCTACTGTACTTAAATCATCTCTAGATCACTTATAATACCCAATTCAAGATAGGTATTATGTAAATAGGCCACATGTTGTAATATTTAGCGAATGCAAGAAAAAGCATCTATAGATGTTCAGTATATATTTTCCTCATTTTTAAAAAATTTAACTTTATATTTAATATTATACATAGTTGAGAGAAATGTGTGCCTGTGTGGGTCTCTGATTAGGAATGTGGAGGGCCAGGTGTAGTGGAAAGTGGGTGGGATAAATATTTCAGTGTTTTTTTTTTTCCTCCTGTGTCTGCACAGTGGGAAGATAAGGGAGACTGCTCTTCCACTTTGCTGTTGTCACACTACATTAGCACCTGTAGAGACCCCAGTGTGGGGAAGAATGTTCTGAGGTGTCATTTGAACGGTCCTGATATTTATGAGACACTGTTAGCTTCATGTGCAAGGGCTGAGAAAATCTCCAAGATCTGTTGGCTGACCAACTCTACTTCAGTTTGGCCAGGAAAACTGTCTAACCTGTTCTGCTATTATCATATCCTCTGTATGCATCTGGGTGTGCTGTCCATTGAGCAGGCATTAGTAACTCAAGAGGCCTGGTCCCAATACATGGCATTCCAAGGTCAGACTACGTATCTAGTGATTTTCCCTGTAACTGAGATTTTAATTCAGTGGTCTAGTTGGGGAGTTCCTCAATAAACTTCACCTGGGGTAACCCTATCTTGACTCATATGCACCAGCCATTTCAGGGTCAGGTTTTGTCTGTAGGTTGCACTAGCCAGTGTACATACCAGTGGATGCAGCTGTCTGGTCAGATGCCTCCAGACTCTCTATTATCAGGAAACTTGAGCCCAGAGTCAGAACTGGGCATCAGTCCCAGATAGCTGGATGAGTGACATGGATATCTCTTACTCTGAGATTTATTTATTTCATTTGAAAGTCAACATTACAAAGAGAAGGGGTGAGAGACAGATCTTCAAATCATTTCCCAAATGGCTGTATCAACCAGAGCCCGGCTGGTCTGAAGCTGGAAGCAAGAGCTTTTTTCAGGTCTCCCACATAGGTGCAGAACCCTAAGGCTTTGGTCCATCTTCTGCCATATTCACAGGGAGTTGAATCAGTAAATGGAGCAGCTAGAACTTGAGCCAGCACCCATATGGAATGCTAGGGCTGCAGAGGATTACTCTACTCACCACTGTGCTTGCCCTGGCTATTTTTTTTAAAGGAACTATTTATTTATTTGAAAGTTAAGAGTTACTCCTGATGACTGTTTCACTCCTCAGATGGTCACAACAGCCATGGCTGGACCAAGCCAAAGCCAGGAGCTTTATCTAGGTATCCCATGTGGATAACAGGCCCAGGACTCGGGAGATCTTCCGCTGTTTCCACAGGTGTATTAGCAGGGAGCTGGGACAGAAATGGAGCACCAGGACTCACACTGGCACCCATAAGGCATGTCAGCGCCACAGGAGGCCTATTTACCCACCATACCATAAAGCCAGCCTTTGTGTATGACTTCTAAGATCAGACACATTCAGGGTGGTATGTCCTTAGATTCTCAGCAGTTTTTTAACCAGTTTCTGCTTTCATGCTGTATAGTCCAAGCAATCAGAGTTTCTGCGGCAGAATAAGTTACACTGTCATTATCCTATTATTTGGATCATCTGGTGCATCACTGCAGTGCAAAGGCCGTAATGATGTGCTGCTGCTCAGACCAAATCCCCTCCCCCCCGCTCATTCTGCTCACACAAGTCCTGTGTGTGTGTTTTTACTTTGGGGCCTTTGACCTTCACATGTTCTTTTCACTTTTTAAACTCATTTCCTGAAAATTTTCTAATGAACTGTTCTCTCCCTGCCCCCAATCTCTGTCTCAGTATCTACTTCTTGGAAGACCTATCAGGGCAGTTTCTGAGACCATATAAAAGAGTGGCTGTCCCACTCAACAGTCTCTTCATTGCACTTATCACCTATCCCATTGCATTCATTATTTTTTCCATCCTTTCTGTTGCTTTGATACTTTCCTGTTGTATGGATAACATTTGCCTGTAGTATCCATACTTTGTATGTTTGTAACTATGAATGAATGAATATACCCTCAAGGGAAGAAAAGGTGACAAGTTGGTGGGGATGTGAAGCCTCTTTGGCAATTAGAAAACTTCATTAGCTCCACTTTTATTTGCAATTAAATAGCTATGAAGAAGGAAATTTTTTTTTTTTTTTTTTTTTTTTAAAGATTTATTTTTATTATTTTTTTATTGGAAAGGCGGATATACAGAGAGGAGAGACAGAGAGGAAGATCCTCCATCCGACGATTCACTCCCCAAGTGAGCCGCAACGGGCCGATACTATGCCGATCCGAAGCCAGGAGCCTCTTCCGGGTCTCCCACGCGGGTGCAGGGTCCCAAAGCCTTGGGCCGTCCTCAACTGCCTTCCCAGGCCACAGGCAGGGAGCTGGAAGGGAAGCGGGGCTGCCGGGATTAGAACCGGCGCCCATATGGGATCCCGGGCGTGCAAGGCGAGGACTTAACCACTTGCGCCACCGCGCCGGGCCCAAGAAGGAAATTTTTTTTAAGATTTGTTTTTTTTATTGCAAAGTCAGAGATATACAAAGAGGAGGAGAGACAGAGAGGAAGATCTTCCATCCCATGATTCACTCCCCAAGTGGCCGCCACGGCCAGTGCTGTGCCAATCAGAAGCCAGGAGCCAGGAACTTCCTCCAGGTCTCCTACACAGGTGCAGGATCCCAAGGCTTTGGGCCGCCCTTAACTGTTTTCCCACAAGCAGGGAGCTGGATGGGGAGTGGAGCTGCTGGGATTAGAACCAGCACCCATATGGGATCCTGGCGCATTCAAGGCGAGGACTTTAGTTGCTAGGCCACGCCGCCTTTCTTTTCCAAGAAGGAAATTTCAAAGCAAGATGCAGGAACCTTTTTTTGTTGTTATTTAATTAAATCTATCAACTTAAACTGTGTATTCTGATGAGTCATATCTGGTTACTTTCTTCAGCCAGGGAAAATTTACTGAATGAGTATTTAAAATACCTACGTAAAATAAAAGTATGCTGTATATTATCTGGATAACTGTGTGGGAGTATTATAGCAGTAACTTATAAAATTCCAGTTAAATTAAAAATACACAAGATTTTTTAATAGTATCTTTTAAGAAACTTATATTTCTGTTTATAATCTGGTCCCACGTTATTAACTGTTTCATGTCTTGTCTCTTTTTAGGAAAAAAAAAGGTGCAATTGATCCTTTATTATTGAAGTATAAGGTGCAACCCACTAAAAAGGAATTATACGAATCTACTATTGTTAAGGCAGCGCAAATCAGGTATAACCCAGTATCATAATTATGTCAATTTAAAGGACAATATTTAATGTAGATTAATGTGGTTTGATGTAGAGCAAGTGAATAGTAGTAAGAATTGCATCCCTTGTTTAAAGTAGTGGTGTATGGTCATCAGCTGTTGAAATGATCATATTGAGGCCCTTGTTCAGGCTAGTAAATAAACCCAAACAGTCTTCTGTCTAGAGAATTAAAAAGGATGTAGCTCATGAAATGATGGTTATGGCATAACTCAGTTTTGAATGCTGAAGAATTTGATGGTGCTTTCAGTATGTCACCTTTTTGGCAGTTTATTTATCCGTCTGTTGCTGTTCTTAAGAATATTCAAAAGTGAAAATTTTTAAATTCTCCTTTTTGAGAATTTTTCCACTTATCTAGAGGAGAGAGAAATAGTGAGTGGTTGGCATATAAAGAAACTGACTACAATTTACCTAGATGTTCTGGGAAAACCGCTTTGTTTAATTTCTGAAAGTAAGTTGACATCTTTAAGCCACCTTTTAACTCTGCAAGGAAATAGCCAATCCTGCATTTACTTTGTTGTAAGATAACGTTTACTTACTTTCTTTTTTTTTTTTTTAAAGATTTATTTTTATTATTTTTTTATTGGAAAGGCAGATATACAGAGAGGAGAGACAGAGAGGAAGATCTTCTGTCCGATGATTCACTCCCCAAGTGAGCACAACGGCTGGTGCTATGCCGATCCGAAGCCAGGAGCCTCCCCTGGGTCTCCTACGCGGGTGCAGGGTCCCAAAGCTTTGGGCCATCCTCGACTGCTTTCCTGGGCCACAGGCAGGGAGCTGGAAGGGAAGCGGGGCCACCGGGATAGAACCGGCGCCCATATGGGATCCTGGGCGTGCAAGGCGAGGACCTTATCCACCGCGTCGGGCTCTACTTACTTTCTTTTGTCCCATATGTACTCATGTATTCAAAGAAAAAGGATAATATATCTTAATTCTGAGATGTTTTTCTATATCTGTATTGAAGTTTGTGGTGTCTTAGGTAGTTGAATGGTTGGTTTTAAGTAGGGAATATCATTGATTTAAAATCTCTAGAAAATTCTACATTTTATTGTATTCCCAAGTTAATGTTTATGGATTATTGATACTTGTTGAATTTATGGTCTAATGAATAACATGGAAATTGAGACTACAATTGTTTTCCTTATTCTCAATTTTTACTTTCAATTCAGGATACATTTTTTTGAAGATTTTTTTTTTCTGCCTAGCACCCAAATGTTATCCAGCTCAGGATTTATTTATTTTTATTGGAAAGGCAAATAAATATATAGAGAGGAGAGGAGACAGAACAATCTTCTCTCCAACTGGCCACATGGCCAAAAGCTGAGCTGATTTGAAACTAGGAGCCAGCCTGGAGCTGCCTGCAAGGTATCCCACATAGGGTGTGGGGTCCCAAGGCTTTGGGCCATCTTCTGCTTTCCCAGGCCACAAGCAGGGAGCTGGATGGGAAGTGGAGCAGCTAGGACACAAACTGGCACCTGTATGGCATCCCAGTCCATGCAAGGAGAGGACTTAGCCACTAAGTTGTTGTGCCAGGCCCCATACATTACTTTCATAATGAAAAGTTCTGTTGAATGTTTCTTTGTTTTTCTACTTAAATTTTATTAGTATTTGAAAGGCAGAATTAAAAGTAAACAGGAAGAGACAGGGTGTTCCTTAATCTACTTGTCCACTCCCCAGTGGCTATAACCCTAACCCTAGGCCAAACTGGGGTTTCATTCAAATCTCCCATGTGGGTACTGAACTGCAGGCCAGCATCTGCTGCCTAAACAGGTACATTAACTGGACTGAAAGTAGAGCAGCTGGAACTCAAAACTAACACCCATGTAAGATTCTCGCACTGTAGCTGGTGGCCTCACTTGCTGTACCACGATATTGGCCCCTTAGGATTCTTTATGTCTCAGCACTAATGGCTAAATCCTCGCCTTGCATCCACTGAGATCCCATACGGGTGCTGATTCATGGCCCATGTGCTCCACTTCCCATCCAGCTCTCTGCTTGTGGCCTGGGAAAGCAGTAGAAGATTGCCAAATGCATTGGGACCTTGTTCCTGTGTTTGAGACCTGAAAGATGCTCCTGTCTCTTGGCTTTGGATTGGCTCAGCTCTGGTTGTTGCTGCCACTTGGAGAGTGAACCAGCGGATGGAAGATATTTCCATCTGTCTCTTCTCTTTGTAAATCTGCCTTTCCAAATAAATAAATAAAATATTTTAGAAACAAACACCAGGGCTTGCCCGGTCCTAATCTTTGCAGCCATTTGCGTAGTGAATCAGCAGATGGAAAAACTCTCTGTGTCTGTCTCTCTGGATCTCCCTCTTTCTCTATAACTCTAACTTCCACATACGAATAAATAAATCTTAAAATAATCCCATTGTTTTAATAAATTAATAGTAATACCTCTAAAAAATAACACTTATATGTTAGAATAACTCACTGCTAAGTAAAACTTGCTGTGGTAACAGAAACATTATGTTTGTACTGTCCAGCATGATAGCTGATCGCCACTTGTGGCGGTTGGGAACTTGCAATGTGGCAAGGAAGGATGAGCTGATTTTTACAGAGTGTGACTAGAAGCCACTAGCTAGGATAGTGCAGTCCTCTGGGACTGGGTATTTATTCATCAGTCAGCAGATGAATCACCTTTTCTTTGATAGATTTTGCATGGTACTGAAATGGAGCAGTGAGCCAGAGTCCTCCTTCTCAGGTTATCTACATTCCAGCCAAAGAATTACACATTAGAGGATGGGAAGAGGGAATCACTACATTAAAAAAATTCTGTATTATTTCTTCACTCAGAAGTTTTCCCAGGTGCATTAACTGGGAAGTGGAGCAGCCAGGATGTCATTCATAAAAGGAATACATTGGATTCATTTGAAATATTTGTGTAGCTTTTTAATTCATTTTGCTTATGGTGGTGTTTGTTGCTGTTGTGGCACACTTGTTTTGAAATGAATAGCACCAGCTCTACTTTCAGACCAGGGATGGTCTCTCCCAGAAACTGTTGAGTTTATGCAGACAATAAGAGGCTGAACTCTATGCATGGTACATGCTTGCAATGAAGGAATCATGACTGGGTTTGAACTGGACTACTCTAACAATGTAGAGGAATCCAACATGGGGGGAGGGGTTGGGGGAAATTCCAGAGCCTATGAATCCGTGTCATAAAAGGAAATTTAAAAGGAAGGAAGGAAGGAAGGGAGGGAGGGAGGGAGGGAGGGAGAGAGAGAGAGAGAGAGAGAGAGAGAGAGAGAGAGAGAGAGAAAGAAAGAAAGAAAGAAAGAAAGAAAGAAATGAAGAGCAAAGGAGAATCAAAGCCATGTGTATTTTACAATTTATGTTTTAGTTCTCTTTAATTTTTATCCCACTATGTTGGCTACTAAGTAAGATTTAAATACAGTTGTTTTACAGTTTGTTAAGGTCTTATGTTCAAACATGTTACAGTATCCATTTGAAAGGTTATTTACTTACTGTTATGACTTCTGATCTTAATTTTTTTAAGATTTATTTATTTTTATTGGAAAAACAGATTTACAGAGAGAAAGAGAGACAGAAAGATCCTCCATCTGCAGGTTCACTCCCTAAAGGGCTGCAACAGCCAGAGCTGAGCTAATTTGAAGCCAGGAGCTTCTTCCAGGTCTCCCACACGGGTTCAGAGTCCCAACTTTGGTGCATCCTCGACTGCTTTCCCAGGATGTAAGGGAATGGGATGGAAAATAGAGCAGCCACACAAACTGGTGCCCATGTGGGATCCCAGCAGATACAAGGAGAGGATTTAGCCAATAGGCTTTCACAAAGGGATCTGATTTTAGCTTTTGAGATAATTTTTTAAATATTTTGTTTTTATTGGAAAGGTAGATTTACAGAGAGGAAAAGAGACAGAAAACTCTTCATTCACTGATTCACTAGCCAACGTTGCCACAGTATCTGGCGAGAGCTGATCTTCAGCCGGGAGCTTCTTCCTGGTCTCCCATAACGGTTCAAGGTCCCAAGGCTGTGGGTTATCCTATCCTGCTTTCCCAGACCACAGACAGGAAGTTGGATAGAAGTAGAGCAGCCAGGATATGAACCAGCACCCATATGGGTTCATGGCGCATGCAAAGCAAGGATTTAGCTCTACTAGGTTATAGCACTGGGTTCTGTAAGAGAATTTTAATGCTGATAATTGTAGGAGTGATCTTCTCATTTTATTAGACTTATTTTTTATAACCTATTTTATTTCTAAATGTCTCCTAACCAGCAAATGTGTATTCTCTTTTTACAGTAAATTCACGCAAATACATCTTCCTACATAATTTCCCACATAGTTGGCTTCATATAAAGTTTCTCGTAACTTGTACATAAATCAGAAAATTAAATATCCTTCATTTCTTGAGCTTAAAATTCAGATTATACATTTGCTGAAATTATGGAGTTTGAATTGAATTCTCTGATGCTAACACCAATTCTTCTTTCTACTGGCAGCCGGAGGAAACACCTATTTTCTCGTGATAAACTAAAGCTTTTTCTGAAGCAACACTGTGAATCACAAGATGGAATCATTAAAGTTAAGGTAATCAGAATAGTGAAATGGTTTGTTGGAAGAAAAAAGAGAGATGGACATAGGTATATAGTTGAAATATTGTAGAACTGTATATCATAGTTTAAATTCTTATCTGTATCCAATTTTTAGTACTTATAAAAAATAATTATTGGGCTCCAACATGATGGCTCAGTTGACTAATCTCCCTACAAGCACTAGGATCCTGAATAGATACTGGTTCATGTCCCAGTTGCCCCACTTCCCATCTAGCTCCCTGCTTATGGCCTGGAAAACAGTAGATGCCCCAAAACCTTGGTACCCTGTACCTGCCTTAGAGACCTGAAAGAAGCTCCTGGTTCCTGGCTACACAACAACTCAGCTCTGGCCATTGTAGCCATTTGGGGAGTGAAACAGCAGAAAGAAAATCTTTCTGTCTTTCCTTCTCTCTTAAAATCTGCCTTTCCAATAAAATAAATAATTTTTTTAAAGATTTATTTATTTTTATTGGAAAGTCAGATATACATAGAGGAGGAAAAAGATCCTCTGTCCCATGATTCACTCTGCAAGTGACTGCAACAGCCTGCTCTGCGCCGATCTGAAGCCAGGAGCCTGGATCCTCTTCCAGGTCTTCCATGCAGGTGCAGAGTTCCAAGGCTTTGGGCCGTCCTCGACTGCTTTCCCAGACCACAAGCAGGGAGCTGGATGGGACCAGGGCTGCCGGCATTAGAAGCAGCGCCCATATGGGATCCTGGTGCATTCAAGGCTAGGACTTTAGCTGCTAGGCCACCGTCCCGGGCCCAAAATAAATAAGACTTAAGAAAAAACAAAACAAACAAAACACCTTAGTGCGTAAAGCTGTTGCCCATATCACCAACATCCCATATTGGAATCAATTCTAGTCCCAGCTGCCCTGCTCCAGACCAGCTCCCTGTGGAAGATGACTTAAATGCTTGGGTGCCTGTCACGTGGGAGGTGAATAGGAAACTCCTGGCTGCTGACTTCAACTTGACCCAGCTCTGGCTTAACTTGACCCAGCTCTTTCTTGACCCAGCTCTGCCTTTCAAATAAATAAAATAAGTGTTGAATTAAATACTATTTTACAATTGCTTGAATTGCTAAGAAATTCATTCGCTGCTTTTTTTTTCCCTTATAAGATGACCAGCGAGTACAGATGAAAATATAATAACTTTGAAAAAACATGAGGAGTGGGCATTGAGCACGGTGGTTAAGACACCGGTTGGAATATCTGCATTCCATACTGGATTGTCTGGGTTCAACTCTCAGCTCTACTTTCAATTTCCAACTTCCTGCTAACGTGTACCCTAGAATGCAGCAGATGACAAACGAAGTGTTTGGGTCTCTGCTGCTCTTGCTTGGGAGACATGAGTAGTATTTGTGCTGTATGGGTTTGGTTTGACCCACCCCCAGCTATTGGGTGACATTTGAGCAGTGAACTAATGAACGGATCTCTCCATGTCTCTCTGTCTCACCCTAAAATGAGTTCTACTAGATAAGAGAACAATGTATAATAATAAGAAGGAAGAGCATGGTATACCATTATTTCAAAGTTACATTTTACTTGATAGCTGTTTGAAACTAAAAGCAGCTTGTTTTTTACTTTTAGTAGCCAGAGTCTTATTGGCTCCACTAAATAAACCATTCCACAAATAAAAAGACTATAATCCAGCAGGAAAATAGACAAGGGCTGTACAAAAACTAGATTTCAAAGATATGAAGTATTTAGTTCATATTAAAGATAGAAAACCATGAGGGGAGTGCAGGCACAGTTGTGTAGCAAGTCAAGCCTCTGCCTGCAGCACCACCATCCTATGTGGGTGCTGCTTCAAGTCCTGGCTGATCTGCATCTGTTCCAGTTCCCTGCTTGTGGCCTGGGAAGGCAGCAGAGAATGGTTCATGTCTTTGGGATTCTGCACCCATATCAGGGACCAGAAGTGTAAATGATTATTGTGGATCATTTAAAAATAAAATTATCAGGGCATTGTGTCATGGTGGGTAAGGCTGCCTGCAACATCAGCATACCATATAATTTGAGTCTCAGATTCTCTACTCTTGATCCAGCTCTTTGTTTGCAAAAGCAACAGAAGGTGATCCAAGTGGTTGGTTCCCTGCCACCCATTTGGGATCAGAAGATGCTGCTTTATCAGGCTGACCCAGTCCCAGCCGTTGCATTCATCTGGAGAGTCAACTAGTGGATCAAAGCTCTGTCTCTCCACTGTCACTGTAACTTTCAAATAATAAATAAATATTTCTTTAAAAAATGGAAATATTAAAACAGTGAGAAAAATAATAATGGAAAAAAGAAAAATACAGTTAGGGAAATAAAAATATAATAAAAATAAACAAAAATGAAAACTGTGGGTTTTGATATTGAATATGGGTTTTTTTCCTTACAATATTTTACTGGAAAGGCAAAATTACAAAAAGAAAAACAGGTGGCCACAGCAGCCAGAACTGGGCCAGTCCAAAACTAGGAGCCAGGAGCTTTTTCCAGGTGTCTCATGTGGGCTCAGGGGCCCAAAGAAATGGGCCATCTTCCACTGCTTCCCAAGGACGTTAGCAAAGAGGTAGATATGGAAAAATAGAGCACCTGAAACTTGAACTGGTGCCCATATTAGATACCAGTACCACAGAGAGCAGCTTTACCTGCTATACCAGAGTGGTAGCACTTCCAGTACTTATTTACGTAGAAAATTTTAGGAAAATTAGCCAAAGGCAAAGTGAATGATTGTATTTTTTTGAGTTTTGATTATCTTCCTGTCAAGATTAATTATGCTCATAGTTTAGAAAAGGATTAAGTAAACCAACTAAAATATATTTCACTATATAATTATGCATGAAAATCTAATTTTTTTTACCTGATCTTTAATAGCGTTAGTAGTGGTCATTTGATCTATAGTGGTATCTCTGTATATGGCTTACTAATATATTATTGTAACCTGAATCTTTTTTTTTTTATTGTTATTAAGGTATCGTCTGTTTTGACATATAAAATTACAGAACGAGATCTTTCTTACTTATTTCCTGATGATCTGTCCACGTTTATCTTCAGTCCAGCCAATAGGAGAAGAGGAAGGCCTCCCAAAAGATTGTCTGTTAGTCAAGTAAGTAGAGAAGAAATAAAAATGACATTTTAAATGTTAATCAGTGTTTAGAATCAAGAACAATGTTTGATTATCTTTACCCCCTACAACCTGTGAGAAGAATCCTGTGAGAGAGTGAGTGTGTGCGTGCGTGTATGCACTGTGATGGTAACTGGTCAGTAGTGGGGTTTTTAGAAGTGTCAGGTGAGAGCTTGGTGCAGTAGCCTCGCAGCTAGGGTCCTCACCTTGTACGCATCGGGATCCCATATCGGTGCCAGTTCTAATCCTAGCAGCCCAGCTTCCCATCCAGCTCTCTGCTTGTGGCCTGGGAAGGCAGTCGGGGACAGCCTTGGGACCCTGCACCCGTGTGGGAGACCTGGAGGAGGCTCCTAGCTTCAGATCAACTCGGCTCCACGCACCGTCGTGGCCACTTGGGGAGTGAATCAATGGATGGAAGATCTTCCTCTGTCTCTCCTCCTCTCGGTATATCTGACTTTCCAAAGAAAGATTAAGTAAGGGGCCAACTTCCTTCTATGTTGCCAGCATCCTCTACGGGTGCTGTTTCATATCCTAGCTGCTCTACTTCCTAACTAATTTTCTGCTTATGGCCTGGGGAAGTAGTGGAGATTGGCTCCAGGCCTTGGACCCCATGCACTCATGTAGCAGATCAGGAAGAAGCTCCTGGTTCCCAGCTTCAGATCAGCTCAGGCCATTGCTGCTATTTGGGAAGTGAACCAGCAAATGGAAGACTTGTCTTCTCTCTGTAAATCTGCCTTTCAAATAGAGTAAATAAATCTTAAAAGAAAAAAAAAAATAATGTCAGGTGTGAATTGGACATGGTTGTCATACCACAGGGATTTTATTACCTAAAAGAAGCAAGCAGATGAGCACTTATGGACCTGTAAAGCAGGTAAAGGATAAAATGCATGGAATAAACACATTGAAATATAAAGAACAGTGACTCCTGACTGGAAAGAAGTATGTAAGGCTTGAAGAAAGCTGTAATGCTCTAGACAAAATGGAAGATTTCTAATGATGACACAGAAATGTGTTTCAGTCAGAAGAAGGAGCATAAACAAGGGTTGGGGGACTTGTATTTTATCTGTAAACAGTCTACCATAGCATAGCTGAGCTGTGAGCATGTAAAGGAATGTAATGGGAAAATGAAGTAGGAAGCATAGTTATCCTTGGGGCTCACTACCAAACTCTGTACAAGCAAATGGTACTAAAATGTTTGCTTCATAATAATGTCTAATTTGCTTCAACAAATTCTTTGCCCATTTTCTAATTTTTCTCACCTTTAACTATCAGCAACTTTCTTCCCTTGGGTCATTGCGATTTTCCAGTTCAGGGAGCAAGGACACTTGGAAAGTTTCTGGAATTGAGCAAACTGATGGCAAGGTAAAGTTGCCTGAGTCAAAGGAAATTTTTCTTATATAATTTTAATTCTTTAATTGCTGTTTTTCTGTCTTTTCCATTTCCCCCTATTCTTATTCAGTGCATTGTTTTGTTTCCTTCCACTGGCTATAGATTGCTGATTTACAAATCACATTCCCAAACTTCTAAATGCAGTTTGCAGCATCGTCAGCATAATGTACTCAATCTTCAGTTCATTTCTCAATTTTAGTTAGTTGTTGGCAACAAGACTTGACTGCTGTAAGAGAACAGGACAAACCTGAGATATTCTAATGTCCCTTCTTTCCTTTTACTGAGCCCTTCTGTCATTCGTATAAGTACTTTTTTTTAAAGGTTTGTTTATTTTCATTGGCAGATTTACAGAGAAAAAGAGACAGTGAGGAAAAGATCTTCCATTTGCTGATTCACTCTCCAAATCGCCACTATGGCTGTAACTGAGCCAGTCTGAAGCCAGGAGCCTCTTCCAAGTCTCCCACATGGGTGCAGGAACCCAAGGACTTGGGCCACCCTCTGTGCTGCTGTCCCAGGCCATAAGCAGACCATAAACAGGGATCTGGGTGGGAAGCGGAGCAACTGGGTCACGAACCAGCGCCTATGTGAAATGTGGTGCATGAAAATGGAGGATTAGCCTGTTGAGCCATGGTGCCGACCCTCAAACAGCATCTTAACCACTATGCAAATATCGGGCCCAAAGTCTTTTTTTTTTTTTTTTTTTAGTTGACCATAGTTATGTAGCATATAAAAAGACTTAAAATCATAGGCACTGGCTTTGTAATCTGAAGTTTTCAAAGATAGCACGACATCCATTCAATGATAGTGCCTTTCGTTGTGTAAGAAAAAGCATTCTATGTGGTTTAGGCTTTCAGAAGGCATGATAAATTGCCTCTTATTGTTTGTAAGCCACAGAAACAGACTGGTTCACCTCTGCCAGTCTTTGGAGTCCAACCTAAAGCTAGGAGCCCAGAATTCAACCCTATTTTCCATGTGGTGGCACAGACCCAGCTGTTTGAACTATCACCCGCTGCCTGCCATGGCATTAGCAGGAAGCTGGAATGAGGGACAGTGTTAGAATCCAAACCTAGACACTCTGCTGTGAGATGCAAGTATCCCAAACTGTAGGTAGACACAAAGATTACTTCCTTGAAGTACTATGAAAGCTGGGATTTGAGTCTGATTTCAAATTTGTCATGCTGTAGTGATATGGGATGAAATTAATGTTGTGGGCCCTGTGCAGTAGCCTGCTAAAGTCTTCACTTTGCACACACTGGGATCCCATATGGGCACCAGTTCTAATCCCGGCAGCCACACTTCCCATCAGCTCCCTGCTTGTGGCCTGGGAAAGCAGTCAAGGATGGCCCAAAGCCTTGGGACCCTGCACCCACATGGGAGACACGGAAGAGGATCTAGGCTCCTGGCTTCTGATCGGCACAGCACCAGCCATTGCGGTCACTTGGGGAGCGAATTATCAGATGAAAGATCTTCCTCTCTGTCCCTCCTCCTCTCTGTATCTCTGACTTTGTAATAAAAATAAATAGATCTTTTAAAAATAAATAATAAATAAAAATAATTTTGGAGGATATCTATTTGAAAGGCAGAGTGACAGGGAGGGAGAGGACTTTCCATTCTCTGCTCTATTCCCCCAAATGGCTACAACTGCAGGGTTTGAGCCAAGCTGTACCAGAGTCTAGGAACTCTGCCTGAATCTCCTTCATAGGTGACAGGGACTGTAATACTGGAGCTGCCATTCTCTGTATTGGCAGACACACCATGGGCTGCATCAGAAGCAGAGTCACTGGGACTCAAACCAGCATTCCTTTCTAGGCTGTGTCAAAGTGGCTTAACCCACTACAATACCTACCTTAAAAATGTTTCTCATATGTCTTTCTCTGCCTGTTTAATATTTGGTGTCTCTGTTGTCTGCTTTATAAAGCAAACAGGAAGTTTTTTTTTCCAATGCACTTTTTTAAGTCTATCCATTTTACTTTTACTAGGATGTTCTTGTACTAATTCGTAGAGCTATACAATTAATTTTTCTAGGGCTCAGTTCTGTAGCTCAACAGGCTGAGTTTTTTTCTCTGTAATGCCAGCATCATGTATGGGTGCTGGTTCATGTCCTGGTTGCTTCACTTCCAATCAAAGTTCAGTTTTAGTTTAAGATTAAAACTCATTTTAGTGAAAAGCATGTGAGATAATGGCGGAGTCCCTGTTTGGAATGCCGCTTCCCATATCAGAGTGCCAAAGTTTAAGACCTGGCTACTCTGTTTCTCCAACTAATAAGTCTGTTGGGAAGCAGCAAGTGATGGCTCACATTCTGGTTCCTAGTATGTATTTAGGGAATAAATCAGCAAATGCAGCGAACGGATGGTTCTCTCCCTCTCTCCTGCCTGTCAAGTGAATTGATAGTTGAAAGTAGTTTCAATATGAAGAATATATCATTGGTAAGAGCCTTTCCTGTTTTGTGTTTTTTAGACTTACTGTATAGATCATCAATTTATGTAATTTATTATCTACCACTTTGGTTTCTTGGCTTTTTTTTTTTAGGATGACTGTGTTAATCAGCAGAATATTGTAGGTTTTAGAAACAAAGCGATTAAGGAAAGAGACAAACTTTTGAGACAAGAAGAAATGAAGTCACTGGGTAAGTTTTAAACCCTTTCCAAAAACTGTTTTGGGATAAGAAAGAATTTTTTTTTTGGTGCTGTAGTGGTGACTTTTTCTAAATGATGTTTTCTGGTTTATTTATTTTTTTATTTGTAAGTATTTTTTTTCCCTCACATAACTACCAATACTTGTTTGAAATTACTTGAAGGATCTTGTTGGAGATTGTCAGTAGGCCTGACAAGGCTGAGTTTGTCTTTTCAACAAGGTGATGACCCAGTGCTAGTTCTCAGACCACAAGCTTATGTATTTGAGCTTACACGGTAGAATGTTTGTCCCAGTTGTGTAGTTTGTTTTAAGCACTGTCAATTTGCTTTTCTGTTTTAATCACCTGCTAGGTCCTTTCAGGAATTTCATGCTGTACTATTAGACTAATTAACCTTAACTAATTTTAAGAATTCTTCTTATAGCAGAAAATGCCCAGTGTGTGTTTTGTTTTGTTTTACAACTGTATATGGTTCTAAGTTTGACCTTCTCCTCAGCTTTTGAAAGGGCCAAATTAAAAAGGGAAAGAGCTGATGCCCTACAAGCCAAGAAAAAAGAAAAGGAAGATAAAGAGAAAAAGAGAGAAGAATTGAAGAAAATTGTTGAAGAAGAGAGACTAAAGAAAAAAGAAGAAAAAGAGAGGCTTAAAATAGAAAGAGAAAAGGTATTCACTTGAATATGTTACCCATAGTCGCTACATAGAAATATTTCATTACATATTTTACATGGTGAAATTTCAAGTGCTTTTGCCACTTTTGTTCACTTTTTAAAATGTGCATGGAACACTAAGCAGTGTTGTTTAATAAAAAGCACTGAGGTAAGAATATTATGTCTATATATTCCTTTATACCTCACTTAAATTTAATCTTTTTAAATAAAAACTATTAACAGATTTATTAATTGAGTTAGAGAGGAGAGACACAAAGGTTGTTCTTTAATCTACTGATTCATTCTCTAAATGGCCACAATGTCCAGGACTGAGCCAGGAGCATGGAGTATGAGCAAGCTCTCCCATGTGGATGGCAATGGCCCAACACTCCCTGCTTCCCAGGCACCTTAGCAGGGAGCTGAATAGAAAGAGGAGCAGCTGAAGCTCAAACCCACACCCAAATAACATTGGAATTAACCTACTGCACCACACCTCAGCCCAAACCTCTTTTCAACTGCTCTTCTGGTGGCCAGCAGAGTGGCTCATTAAGTTAATCCTCCACCAACAAGTACCAGCGTTCTCTGTGGGCACCAGTTCATGTCCTATCCTCTCCACTTTCAATCCAGCTCTCTACTTGTGGCCAGGTAAGGCAGTAGAGGATGGCTCCTGACTTGAGACCATCTCAGCTGTGGCCATTGTGGCCACTTGGGGAATGAAGCACAGCATGGAGGTTCTTTGTCTTTCCTCTGTTAATCTGCCTTTCTAATAAAAATAAGTTTTTTTTTTTTAAAGATTTATTTATTTTTATTGGAAGATTAGATAGACAAAAAAATTCTTCCATCACCTGACTCACTCCACAAGTGGCTACAGTGGCTGGAGCTGAACCAATCCAAAGCCAGGAGCCAGGAGATTCTTTTGGGTCTCCCACATGGTTGCAGATTCCCAAGGCTCTGGGCCATCCTCAACTGCTTTCCCAGACCACAAGCAGAAACCTGGATGTGAAACAGGCCTGCTGGGACATGAATCAGTGCCCACATGGGATTCCGGCGTATGCAAGACGAGGGCTTCAATCACTAGGCTACCAACCACGCTAGGCCCAAATACACCTTTCTTTAAAAAAGTAAAATGCTCTTGTGATTGTGGGAAGAAGATACGTAAAACTTTAAAAGATAAAACACATAAACACTATAACAAATTATATTGCCAACAGTAGTCAACTAAGTACATCTTTTCTGTAGTCTTCAGTGGTAGATCCAATTCCTTAGAGTTCTCAATAAACAACTTGGGATATTCACTGAAGTTCTTGTTACACACTGTGTAATTTAAATTACACAACAGTATCTTCTTTAATTTTAAAAGGCTATTGAGGTGGTAGTCTTGGGTCCAATTCAAGTTCACAACCAGAGAATGAAGAGAATAAAAAGCCACATGTAGGACCTGGCACGGTAGCCTAGTGGCTATAGTCCTTACCTTGTACGTGCCAGAATCCCATACAGACACTGGTTCATATCCCAGATGCTCCACTTTCCATCCAGCTCCCTGCTTGGGGCCTGGGAAAGCAGGAGAGAACCACCCAAAGTCTTGGGACCCTGCAGCCACGTGGGAGACCCAGAAGCTCCTGGCTTCTAACGTTGGATTGGCTCAGCTCCAGCCATCACATCCACTTGGGGAATGAAGCAATAAACACGATCTTTGTATCACTTCCTCTCTGTAAATCTGACTTTCCAATAAAAATAATAAAATATTTTAAAAGTTACATGTTGCCTAATGGTAATTCTTATAAACAGAATTAACATTTCCAGTCTTTATTCCAGGCTTTAAATAATATCATCCAATAAAAACTAACAAAAACATTTTTTTAATGAAAAACAAAAAATAAATAATACCCACTAAATATAATTTTATGTACTTTTTAAACTAACATTTTCTTAGCATTCCTTCATGTTGGTAAATAATCTAAATGTACTAATAACAGTATCTGTTATTTTCAGATAGCTATAAATGATTTATAATTTTTGCTGATAAATTCTGCTATGTTCTAATATCTGAATATAGTATTTTTTTTTCTTGGACATTGTTCCTGGATAAATTTGTACCAGTAGAATAATTGGTCAAAGGATAAGGGCTTATTAAAGACTTCTGTGCACATAATGGTTACGTGTTTGTCACGTGTGTGTAGATTTGTTTTGTTTAAGATTTAATTATTTTATTTGTTTGAAAGCTTCTGTATCCGTTGGTTCACTCTCTAGATGCCTTCATCAGGCAGAGATAGCCACACTGAATCAGGAGGCAGAACTCCACCCAGATTTCCCACGTGAATGGCAGATTCCAGTACTTGGGCCATCACCTGCTTCCCAGGGGCGTTTATAGGGTTCATTATGTAATGGCCCAGCCCAGCCATTGGGAAAGTAAAACAGCAGATGAAAATGCTCTCTGTCTCTCCTTCTACCTTAAAAAAACAAAACAAAACAAATGTCCAGGGAGCCTGAGAAATAGCCTGGATTACAAGAAAGAGAAGTCCCTCAGCTGTATGCTCATGATGTTTTAACTTACTGTTGCTGCTTGGTATTTCCACGCTTTACCCAATACAAATGAATCTTGAAAATAATAAATGTATGTCTGGCTATAAGGGAAGGCTTCGTTTTAGGGGTAGAGCTGCTATAGGCAATGTTGATAACATAGTAGTTTGTGACATTAATGCGGTTAGTGGTTTAAAGTACTTAGTGAAATGAGCTGCTGGATTCTAACAAGAGTTCCTGGAGTGGTAGATCTGAGGTAAGGCCCAGTTGTGTGCATTTCTATGCTGTCTTACACACATCTTCCAAGAAGCTTCACTAACTGTTTTTTTGTTGTTGTTGTTGTTTTTGTTGTTTTTGTTTTTTTTAAACAGGAAAGAGAGAAATTACGTGAAGAAAAGCGAAAATATATGGAATACTTGAAACAGTGGAGTAAACCTAGGGAAGACATGGAATGTGATGATCTTAAGGTACAGTAAACATGTTACATGCTTGTGCACACACATTTATTTACTAAAGTGACCTTGCTGATAAAATCTCCTGTTTGATAGCAACCTTTTAAATTTAACTGAGAGTTAAAAGCAAATTAAGCAAATGTTCATACTTCAGATTCCAAGCTAGCACATTGTTAGTGTTTTATATCAGGGCTTGATAATAATTTTTCTGTAGGTAGCAGTTTTTCAGTTGTATGATCCTTGATAATCTAATAAACTCTGTAGCCATTTTGCTTGATTGCTTGTTGGGGATTCTGCCTGATGCCAGACATGACTGAAGTATATAAGCCAAGCCCATTCATCTCATTAGGTACCATTTCTAAATTGATAGTGATATATTCATTATGTTCTTTGTCATAAGGAGGTATTACATTGAGGATGTTAGTTGCAGTTAGTTTGATTTCAAGGCCTAGATTTAGTAATCCTTTTACACACTTCAACCTAAAATTACATTCTAAGTTTGAGGAAGAAAAATGTCCCTTTTGTAAGGAGTGACTTGGACAGTAGCCTCGAAGACTAATGAGACCCTCCCATCTTAGGCCAGTGCCACTTTAAATACCTGCTTCTGCTAGGTCTCGACCTCCTTAAGGCCCTCTTGTGTAAGCTTCCCAGCCTCTAGATCCACCAGTCTGCTGTACTTCATGACCCTGTACCTGAGGGCTCTATTCACCAAGCCCCTGGCACTTATCCCTGCTGCCTGCGTACAGCTGCATCTGCCACTCTGGCGGTCCTGCACTCCCAGTACCCACCTCTATGCCAGAAACTTGCCTTCCCTTTGTCCTGCTCTCTGCCCTCTCTCTGCTTTCTACCTGCTGTATTCCCTACCTCTCTCTCTCTCTCTCTCTCTCTTTCCCTCATGCACTCTCTCTGCTTCTGCTTTCTCTGCCCCACAGCTGCCCCTCCCACCAAATAAAGACCTCTTCTAGTGTCTGACAAATTAGGTTTGTGGCAAAAATAGCTAATACCTATCTCACAGTCCCTTTGGTGAAGCTGAAATAAGTCATAAAATTCCAGAAGCATTATGATAAACATCCGAGGCAAGATCCATTAGTTTCCATGAGGTAATTCTTACTAGATAGAGTATTGTATTTACCTTTTGAAATTTTCCTGTACTTGACTTGAATAATTATATCATTTGTCTAATTTTGCAGGAACTTCCAGAACCAACTCCAGTGAAAACTAGACTACCTCCTGAAATTTTTGGTGATGCTCTGATGGTTTTGGAGTTCCTTAATGCGTTTGGAGAACTTTTTGATCTTCAGGATGAATTTCCTGAGGGAGTAACCCTAGGCAAGTATTTTGGCTTGTTCTGGTTATCTGTTGTTGTATTGTAGTTAACCCTAAAATTGCTTTTCTTACTGTTTTTAAAAAGGTTTTAAAGTGCAGTAGTGTCATTGGACTTAGTTAGCTGTCTAGTTCATTGAGTGATTCATGTGGTTAAGAGTCACAAACCAGCTGGAGGTTGCTGTCTACAGGCTTACGTGGTCAGCTGCTCAGCATGGCTTCTTCAGGCACACGTGGTGTGGCAGAAAGCAGAAACAGCCAGACCTGATGCTGGCCCTGCTTTGTTTTTGCTGCATCCCATTGGTCAGGGCCATCATAGATTACCTGGAATTGGAGAGAATGGAGAAATTGATCATCAGTTCGGTACAAAGTGTGGTATGTGTGGGTTTGCAAACGAGTCATTGCCTGATTTTTGTTTTGCCAGTGTACTTTAAAATGTCTATAGAATTTAATGAGGGATTGGTATCAAACTTTGTATTTTTAGCTAATAAATAGAAAAAGTTTCTTTTTAAAAAGATTTATGTATATATTTGTTTATTTAAAAAGCAGTTAGAGAGGAGAAAGAGTTCTACCATCTGCTGAGTCACACCCCAAATAACTCCAGGCCAAAGCCAGAATCAACTTCTCCTTCCTTCCACACACATTCCCATCATGGGTGCTGAACAATCATCAGGTGTGTTTTAGAAACACCGGGCCTGCCTTTCCACTTCTCAAAACCCTGCTCCAGCTCAGCATGCGGAGGTTTCAAGTTCAGCTTGGTAACGTGGTATCAATGGCCACAAAGCCTGGTCTGGCCTAGCCTCCACCTGGATCTCACACATAGGGAGCAAAATGCAAGGAACTGAGTGACGTTCCACTGTCTTCCTGGTGTGTCAGTAGGATGCGGCATCTGAAGCAGAGTAGCTGGGACTTGAACTTGTGCTCCAATACTGAATCCTTTACAACCTACCTCAAGTATTACTTCTTTAGTAAGCATCTCCAATGCATCACAACTCCACAGTTAATTACTCCCTCTCCTAAATCTTGTATAGATAGTACTTTTATCTTGTATTTTATTTTCTGTTTATACACTTGTCTTTCCAGTATTACAGTATGCTTTTAAAAAAGTAGTTGTCAGGCCCAGCACGGTAGCCTAGCAGCTGAAGTCCTCGCCTTGCATGTGCCAGAATTCCACATGCGTACTGGTTTCTGTCCCGGTGGCCCTACTTCCCATCCAGCTTCCTACTTGTGGACTGAGGAAAGCAGTCAAGGACGACCCAAAGCCTGCACCCTCATGGGAGACATGGAGGACTTCCTAGCTTCAGATCAGCTCAGTTCCAGCTGTTGCGGCCACTTGGGGAGTGAATCAGCAGACGAAAGATCTTTTTCTCTGTATATCTGCCTTTCCAATAGGAAAAAAAATTTTTAAAGATTTATTTATTTTTATTAGAAAGTAGATATACAGAGAGGAGAAGAGACAGAGAGGAAGATCCTTCATCCGATGATTCACTCCTCAAGCAGCCACAACGGCTGGAGCTGAGCCAATCCGAAGCCAGGAGCCAGGAGCTTCTTCTGGGTCTCCCACACGGGTGCAGGGTCCCAAGGCCTTGGGCCGTCCTCGACCGCCTTCCCAGACCACAAGCAGGGAGCTGGATGGGAAGCAGGGCCGCCAGATTAGAACTGGTGACCATATGGGATCCTGGGCATGCAAGGCAAGGATTTTAACCACTGCACTATCGCATCAGGCCCCAATTTAAAAAAAATTTTTTAATTGAATATATTAGTTGTTTTGGGGCTAGTGCTGTGGCTGTAGCAGGCTGTCTACACCTGTCATGCTAGCATCAAGTGTCCAGTCCAGCTGCCTGCTTACAGCCTAGGAAGGCTTTATAGGATGGCTCAAGTCCTTGAGTGCCTGCACTCATGTGAAAGACTGGGAAAGAAATCCTAGTTCCTGGCTTCATATTGGCTCAGCTCCAGCCACTGCAGCCACCTGGAGAATGAACCAATAAATGGAAGGTCTCACTCTCTCTTTTTCTATGTAACTGCTTTTCAAATAAAAATAAACTTTTCTTGAAAATTTGTGTTCTTATGATCTCTGTAGACCCTCTCTGAAACCCCTTTGCTTTTGAGCTAAGGAGGCGAGTTGTATGTAGTGCCTTGCAGAACAGAAAATCTGAACAGTGCTGATGTAAGAGCTAAATAAGAAACATTTATTTATCACTTGGTCACAATGTTAGAATTAAAACTAGTGATGATAATTACCTCTTGCAGGTGCTATTGTGTAAGCAGTAATGTCCCATGTTGTCCTAGAAATGTGAGATAACCGTATAAATATTTGCATTATTCAAATTAGAATAAAAATATAATTTTAAAATTTGTACCTCATACTTACGCAGAGGAAATATTTCATTGATCTGTTGAGGTTGTTTTGGTGTCCTTGGATGGAGTAACTGCTTTGTGATCTTTATCATTTTGTGATCATTATTAGATATTTTATATGTTGCCTGTGATAATACTTGTTTCTTTCATGAAAGTAGTTACACAGGCTATAATGTTAAATGTTTGTTTTCTAATGGGCTTGATTTTTTTCATGATATGAGCAGAACTTTAAATCTATTTTAAACATTTTGTTTACAGAAGTGTTAGAGGAAGCTCTTGTAGGAAATGACAGTGAAGGCCCACTATGTGAATTGCTTTTTTTCTTCCTGACTGCAATCTTCCAGGCAATAGCTGAAGAAGAAGAGGAAGTAGCCAAAGAGCAAATAGCTGATGCTGACACCAAAGGTCAGAGTTAACATTATTGCTGATAAACCCATCATTTTAAGATTAACTGGCTTTTACAGTTAGAAAATATATGTTCAGGTTGTCTGTCATTGAGTCTTATGCTAACAAGATTATTATGATTTTTCTTTTATTAAAAATTGTAATGTAACCTGCTTCTAATGGCTTTTGAAACATTTTTTTAATCTAGGAAAAACTTTAGGACATATCCATTTTTATATTAGGAGATTGAATTCTGTTTTTGAGTAACACTCTGTGAACTTAGCCACAAGTGAAATTTAGGACCAGAAACTTGATTCAACAATGCTTCAGTATAATGTAATAAGTCACAATAAGAAATTATTTGGGAAAAATGTCTTGATAGCACAGTGTTGGTACAAAAAGATTAAACATTCCTCCAACTGAGATAGTTTTGGTGGGATAATTTAGTCTGAGCCATTTTCTCCTGTGCCCTGGCTTTTGAGGCAACATAGTATTGATGTACATGTACCTGAAATTGGTTGCCTTTTGATTTTATGGCCTGAACTCTCAAACACAATATATTTTCAAGCTTGTGCTGATATAATGGGTCCTGTAACAAGACTATTTTAGCAATATGAACCCTATTGTCATCTCAATAAGCAGCCCAGGTAAAAGTATTTGTTGTTCTAGCCATATGTGAACTTAATAATTGGCAATAATATAGGATTATTAACCAAGTTCTGAACTTAGACAAAGTATCAAGCTGTATATAATTCAGGATTTAAAGCAGATTAGTTCTGTAATTTTTGGAAGATCTGAGTTAGAAAATGGGATGATAAAGGAATTAAGTTGAAAAAACAGCTAGGCTAAAAGAAAAATATTAAATTCTTAGTGTTTATATTATCATTGTATTTGCTACTCATGATTTGTTTGTCTATAGTTTTTATAACTCTACTGAACGAAAGTCACTATAAATACCAGTTCTAGTTCTCTGAATAAGGATTGGCAACAAATAAATGCCCCTTTAGAAATACTCATTATTTAAGTGTTAAGGAGAAATAACCAAAAAAAGGAGCTTGACATTTGTCACCCATCTGTCACTTCCCTATTATTGGTTACATTTTACATGTTGATTCTATAAAGTCCCTAGATTGTTTCCACAGACACAACTTGATTTTTCCTCATGAAAAGTCATAAAATATGTGATTTTCCCTCCCATCCCAGTAACAAAAAATATTTTCCATAATCATCTTGGAGGTAGTAGAACCAGCTGATGGGATTAGATATTCTACTTACATGGTCTTAATAGTAAGGTGTTTTATGCTGTTTCAAGCAAGGTGGGAACAGGACAGAGGGAAAAAGTTTGAATTTATGTTGGCAATGACAAAACTGAGGTTCATTGAGGTTATTTACTATAGTGCAGCTAGTTAGTGTAAGTGATGCAAGTTACTAAGAAACTGCTTCATTTAACCTGCATGCTGTTGTGAGGTAGCTGTAATTACGTTCTACATTTTACGTATCAAGAAAATGACACTTGAGACACAACTAAAAAGGAAGTAATAGGATATAAACTCAGTCTGACTCCTAATAAATACACTGTATTGCTTCAAAGTAGGTAACATTTTAGAAAGCCTTCAGTATTTTTCCACAGATGTTGCTTATCACCTGTCTTCAAGGAGATTTTTGACTTGCTCATTTTTTTATATCAAATATCAAATTTTGACTTGCAGTTTTAAACATGTTGTTCCAAATAACTTCATTCTTCTATTAGTCTGACATCTTGAATTTAAAAACCTTTCAAAGCATAGGAACACGAGCGTCCTCACATAGTTTAAGTATTTAACACATTTTTTTATTTGACACAGTTAAAAGTAATCTGCCGTTTCATTGGTGGATCATTTCCTTAGGTCTTTAAGGTCTTTGTTCTAGGAAATTATAGTTGTCCACAGATAATGTAGGTTACAATGCCAGCTGCTGCCATAAAAGGGAGCCAGTATACTTTACAGTTGTCTACCTGGTACTGTTGTTAGCTTTAGAGTGTCTGTGAACTTTGTTTGGCTTCATGTTAAAAAATGATAATTGAGAAAACTTTAGATCTAGGATTTCCCTGGCACAGAAAAATACACGGTCTGTCATTTGGGCTAGATGAGGCCTCATAGAAATGACTTTGGTATATGTGCAAAGTATATATGGTCAGTTAACTACTGTGTTGTCCCGTTTCTGGATTAAATGTCATGTAATTGACAGCAGTTGAAATCAGGCATTATCCCAGAGCCCAGTTTTTCTTAGTAAAGGACAGTACTTCAGTTCTCTGGGTTTAGTTTTGTCAAGCTATAAACTTTAATAAGGGAAATCATCTGATGGAAGGTTAAGGAAATAGAATGAGATTAGCCTAGTGATTTTTAACCTGTAGTCCGAAGTGCTCTACAAGTTGTTCAGAGATGCCTGAGGGCAGTTGGAGGGAAGCTGGAGTGATGACCTGGCAGAACACCTTTTCTCACCCCACTTTAACAAGGGCAGCTTTGAGCTGTTATGTTGAGCTTCCAATAAATATTTTGGTTTTTGAAGAATTTGAAACTGTTGATCTAGACTTACCCTTTTAAGGAAAACGAAGCCCAGATGAAGTGATTTGACTCCAGGGTATCTTAACTAGGCAGTGGCAGAACTAAGACTGCCACATTATCTGACTCTTAATCTGAAGTTGTGTACACATTTATGATGTCACAGTGTATTTAGAAAATGCAGGGAACTCTTTGTATTATTTTTGGGTTAGAAATTCTTCAAATTAAAATAGTAGGCATGTTAATGATGATAAATTAGTAAGGACAACAGTGCCTAAGTCCTTTTAGCTTTTTTGTTGTGATGATTATAACTTGTACTTTGTTATGGTTTCATCTTAGAATATGTGTAAAAGAATATTTTTAGGTAGAATCCAGTTTTCAAAGTAGACCGTTCTTTGAAGTTTAGAGTGAAAGGGGATTTATTTCTAATTCTAAAATGCATGTTAATCATGTTTTGAAACATGTAAGTGCTTGTTGTTGCTTTGGAAATTGTCTTCTCTTTGTAGGGAAAATGTTAGTGTGTAGTTCATGTTTTGGGACTTGTAGGTGCAGACTAGGCAGAATATGAATGTTTTTATCTAGTGTTGATTTTTGCAAGCTTCCTGAATGTTATTGTTTGCTGTTTCTTTCATCATTTTAGAAGGCCTTATTCCCAAATATGTAAGCCGATTTGCACTAGAATAAAGTATTTATTTCCTTAAAGATTTAACAGAGGCTTTGGATGAAGATGCAGACCCCACAAAATCTGCACTGTCTGCAGTTGCATCTTTGGCAGCTGCATGGCCACAGTTACACCAGGGTATGTGTGGGTTTTATTTTTTTGTTTGGCTTTTTATTTTCAATTTATAAAGGTACATTTTGTATTAGTAAATAATTATTTGTAATCTAAATAACGGTTTCATTTTTAACAACTATAGGTTGCAGTTTGAAAAGCTTGGATCTTGACAGCTGCACTCTCTCTGAGATCCTCAGACTGCACATTCTAGCTTCAGGTGCTGATGTCACATCAGCAAATGCCAAGTACAGATACCAGAAACGAGGAGGGTTTGACGCTACAGACGATGCTTGCATGGAGCTCCGCTTGAGCAATCCCAGTCTGCTGAAGAAGCTGTCAAGTACTTCCGTGTATGATTTGACTCCAGGTAAACTGCAAATCGCATTTTACAGCCTGCCCACTTCCTGCCTGCCTGTGTGTCTCATGCCTAGGAAAATGAAGTGGCTGATGAAAAGTTCTAGTAAGTCAGTTTTTAAACTTGTTAAAGGTTGGCTGGTTTGTTTGTTTGAAGGAGTTACAGAGACAGAGAGATCTTTCGTTTGCTGGTTTGCTCCTCAAATGGCCACTGCTGCTGGGGCTGCTTCAGGCCTGAGTCAGGAACCCAGAACTCCACCCAGGTTTCTCACATCAGTGGCAGAGGCCTAACTGCGTGAGAGCCATCATCCAGGGCCTTCCCAGGAATATTAACAGGAAGGTGGATTGGAAACAGTACCTGGGACTCACACCAGTCCTGATATGAGTTGCTGGCATTGTTTGTAGTGGTTTAACCCGTTGTGCAACAACACAGTTCCCCCTTTTTTGCATTTTTACATTAAATGACAAAACAGAAGTTTGTGGTTTTTGTTTTGTTTTGTCATTAATTATCCAAAATTTATTTACATCTCTTTTATAGGAGAAAAAATGAAGATACTCCATGCTCTCTGTGGGAAGCTACTGACCCTAGTTTCTACTAGGGATTTTATTGAAGATTATGTTGATGTATTACGACAGGCAAAGCAGGAGTTCCGGGAGCTAAAAGCGGAACAGCATCGAAAAGAGAGGGAAGAAGCAGCTGCTAGGTAAGAGAGTTATGCTCCTGTAAGATAATTAGTTATTTGCATCTAAATCTATATTTTGTAATGTATTACAGTGTAACACTGATGTTTGATGGCTTTACAGAGAAATTTGAATGGATTACTACATTATAGTTTTTAATATGCTTTGGAGAATTTTCCATAATTTGGTAATTAAAGACAAGATATCTTTACAGTGCATAAACTATAACAGTTTATTTTAACTTTCAGAATCCGTAAAAAGAAAGAAGAAAAGCTTAAGGAACAAGAACAAAAAATGAAAGAGAAGCAAGAAAAGCTGAAAGAAGATGAGCAAAGAAATTCGACTGCAGATGTATCCGTAGGGTATGGTTCGAATTATACTGATTTTCTTTAACCGTCTTAAAAATCAGACACCTGAAACTTTAAAGTTTCAAATATTTAGAAAAGCAGTTTTATTTCTTTCTTTCTCTGTCTCTCCATCTTTTTGTTTTGTTTTGTTTTGTGTTTAAAATTGTTTTTATTTGAAAGGCAGGATGCCAGAGAGAGATCTTCAACACTCATCATCAAGTGACCACCACAACCAGGGTTGACCAAGCTGAAGCTGAGAGCCTGGAACTGCACCTGGCTGGCAGGAGCCTAAGCCCTGTAGTCATCCTCCACTGCCTTCCCAGACACATTAACAGGGAGCTAGAAAACAAGCAGGGTTATCCAGGTCAGAAAAGCATACTTTGTTAAGATGGCAAGCCATAGCACCCACATAACTCCAGTGCTGGCTCCCAAAGAAGCACTTTTCTATAGGTACATGGCAATTGTGTTAGCAAGGCTGTGAACACACTCCTATTGTATGTATTAACAATTCCCAAAAAGTTTCTGTTTCAAACTAATTCTAGGGAAGCAAGAACTCATCGCTTCATAGAATGCATGTTAAAAGCAATAATTTATCAGATAAAATTGTTTTTTAACCAATAACATTTCTTGCATGAATTGCTCCCTCGTCCACTGCCATCAGAATCATAGGGTATGCACCATATTTCTTAGAGTTCTCTGAGCTTTGTACAGGAACAAGAGTGTGATTAGAGAAAGGTTGTTACAGTGTAGGGAGTGACAGCATTCCCTTAAGTTTACGTTAAGTAAACTAGAGTTTGCCCGTGAATTCTGTTATACTGAGAAAGATTGGTAAAAATTGGCTATGAAAACGAAAGATTGGCTACAAAAATGGAAACTTTTTCGTAATGTAGAAGAGAAGCTACATTCAGATCAGATAATAGCCTTTTTGTTTTCTTCATACAAAAACTACAATGGAAGATTCAGAAAAATCTTAGTATTCCAAAATTGCATACAAACTTATATTACAATTGCTTATAAAAATTTGGACTGGCTCGGTGTAGCAAGCAGTCACTAATTGCGAAGCTAGCGTCCCGTATAAGCCATGGTTAGAGACCTAGCTATCTCACTTTGATCCAGCTCCCTGCTAATGCAGCTAGGAAAGCAGCAGAAGATAGCCTAGGTGGTTTGTCCCCTAGATGCATATGGGAGACCTGGAAGAAGCTCCAGACTCCTGGTTTCAGCCTAGCCAGCCCTGGTCATTGCAGCCATTTGGAAAGTAGACCAGTGGTTACAGGTTTAACTAAATTGCCAACAACCAAATAAAAATATTTAATTTGATTTTTTATCAAAATTAAGAACTTCCATGCTTCAAAGGAACACTGTCTCTAGGCTGTCTCTAGGTAGCCTAATGGGTTAAGCTACCACCTCCCAGTGCCAGTTGGGACATGAACTGGTGCCCATATGGGATCCTGGTGCTTGCAAGGTAAAGATCTAGCCAGTTGAGCCATCGTATTGGGCCCTCCTATGAATTTTTTAAAATGTATTTGAAAGCAAAGAAAGAGTCTAGCCACTAATTCACTCCTTAAATCTTTTGGCAGTCCCTGGCTAGGACTGGAGCTGGGAGCTGGGAGCTGGGAGCTTAATTCAGTGGCCACCTCTGCTACCTCCAAGGTTTGACATTTGCAGGAAGCTGGAGTCAGAAATATAGCCAGGCAGTGAACCTGGGTGCTATAATATGGGTTGTGGGCATCTTAACTGATATCTTACTTAACTATTAGGCTAAACTCCTGTCCCATCTTTATGAAAATTCAAATACCCTGTACTTCAAAGAGTGAAGAGTGTACATTCACCCAACAATGTGTGTACAAATATTCATAGCATTACTTTTCTTCTTTTTTTTTTTTTCAATTTCAAAATTTCTAACAGAGAAACAGAAAAGCTAAGAGCGTTCTCATCCACTAGTTATTCCCCAAATGCCTGCAGTGGCTGGGAGCTGCAACTGGAAGTTGAATCCAGGTTTCCTCTGTGGGTGGCAAGAACCCTGCCTCCTGATTCTTCACCACTGCCTCGCAGGGTCCACATCAGCAAGAAACTTGAATCAGGAGCCAAAGTGGAACTTATTCCTCCCATGTGAGGTGTGAACTGTGTCGTAACCTGGGTCCCAACGGCCAGGCCAGATGTCTGCTCCAATAGCATTATTCTTTATTTTTCCTTGTGTTTTAAGCTTTCTTAATTTGATTTATCTTAAAGGGAGAGAGAGATTATCCCTCTGCTTGTTCATTCCCCCGATGTCTGCCACAGCCAAGATTGGCCAGGCAGAAACCAGGAGCCAGGAACTCCATGTAAATCTCCCAGGTCGTGTAGGTAGCAGGGACACAAGTACTGAGCTGTATGCTCGAGTACTGTGCTGCCTCCCAAGGAGGTCTGGGAACAGTCGAAAAGTGGTAACAAGCCCAGTACAATAGCCCAGTGGCTAAATCCTCCCCTTGAATGCACTAGGATCCCTTGGATCCCATATGGGAGCCAGTTCATATCTTGGCTGCTCCACTTCCCTTCCAGCTCCCTGCTTGTGGCCTGGGACAGCAGTCGAGGACAGCGCAAAGCCTTGGGACCCTGCATCTGTGTAGAAGAAGCTCCTGGCTTCTGGCTTCAGATTGGCCCAACTCTGGCCATTGCAGCCACCTGTGGAATGAACCAGCAGATGAAAGATCTGTCTTTCCTCCGTGTAAATCTGACTTTTCAATAAAAATAAGATAATAAATTTTAAAACAAAACAAAACAAAACAAAAGGTAGTAATAGCCCAATGCCCTTTAGTTGATGGGTGGATAAGTAAAATCATATTCCTTTTCGTAGTATAATTATACAAAAAAAAATTACTCGTCAATACAAAGAAATAGAGTTCTGATAACAGCTACAATGTGATTAAATTAGGGAGTATTTATCTAAGAAGCTAATCACACATATTGGAAGATTCCTTCTTTAGGAAATGGTCAGAACAGACAAATGTATTGAGATAGGAAGTAGTTGAGTGGTTGCAAGGAGCAGCAGGAAATGGAACTTGATCACAGATGGGTTTAGAGTTTTTGATTTGGATTGCTGAAATTGATTGCCAACCTTGTGACTATACTAAAAGTTGCTAAATTATACTCTGAGATAATGGCTTTTGTGGTGTATAAATTATGAAACATAATTCAAAAATTGAAACAATTTTTTTCAAAGACAAATAAGTTTGGTGTACATGCTACATCTTCACATTACTTACAGCTTCATATCATCTTTGGCTCCTGCATATGGTCAAGCTTGCAAAACCCCACTTTGGCTGTAGCACATCAGTGATAGAATATATTTCAAAGCTTATATAATCTTTATTTTAGACAACATAATAAACAATCATGTGTGTTCACTCTGCCTGCCTAAATCTGTCTGAGGTTTGCTTCTTTCCTCTTAGTTTCTCTACTCATTTCTTTCTGCTCTGAACCACCATCAACTCTTAGCCAGCCCCCTGGATTAGGAAGGTGTCATCCGGCCTGGTGTTCCCTTCCTGCTTTCTCCACATAGTGACCATAGTGCTTTCTCATCCGTCACCCTCTACTTCTCCACCCTCCAGGTTTTCCCCCCATTCCTTTTTGGGTAATCCTCTAGCAGACCCAGCATGACGTGACTGCCTTTTTTTTTCTCATCTGTGTTGGATTACTACTTTTGCATTTCTGCTTTCTTTCAAAATGACAAGGTCTTTCTTTCTCCGTCAGCATCTCCCCTACCTGCCTAATCTTTCCTCAGCTCCCTGGTCTCCCAGGTTAAACGTTACTTCTCTGGGCCTTCAGCCTTTCTTGTCCCTACAACTTGATTTAGTTCTCCCTGAAATGCACTGCTAGTACTGAGAAGAACTATTTCAGTACTTTTAAATTTTAAAATGGTTATGCAGTTGTTTTCTCTGCAAGACTATGAACTCTAAGTCATGTTGTTTGCTACTTCCTAATTATGCCTGGTACCTCATATGCAGGCAGTAAATATTTCATGAGTGGAATTATGTTCCTTAATACATGTAATCTTTGTTTTCACTAAAAGGGAGGAAGAAAGGGAAGATTTTGATACTAGCACTGAGAGCAAAGAAACTGAGCAAAAGGAACTGGACCAAGATACAGTCACTGAAGATGAAGATGACCCTGGAGCACTTAAAAGGGGAAGAAGAGGTAATGGAACTTTTTAAGGGCATGCTCATTTATCGCTTTTTAATTGATAAGTCACTATACTAATTCAGCCACTCTGGAATGTGTCATTTGTGATTCCAGGTGTACATTGTTTATGATTTTTTGTTTTATTTTTAATGCCCACCTAATGGTCATGTTGAATTGTTAAAATAGGGACTATTTGTGAAGAAATGACATTATAAAAACATGATGACTATACACAGGCCTGCACATAGAGTCTTATATAAACACATATATTATTCATTTTGAAAGTCAGAGTTGGGCCCGGCGCGGTGGCGCAAGTGGTTAAGGTCCTCGCCTTGCACGCCCGGGATCCCATATGGGCGCCGGTTCTATCCCAGCGGCCCCGCTTCCCTTCCAGCTCCCTGCCTGTGGCCCGGGAAGGCAGTCGAGGACGGCCCAAAGCTTTGGGACCCTGCACCCACATGGGAGACCCGGAAGACGCTCCTGGCTTCGGATCGGCATAGCATTGGCCGTTGTGCTCACTTGGGGAGTGAATCATCGGACGGAAGATCTTCCTCTCTGTCTCTCCTCTCTGTATATCCACCTTTCCAATAAAAAAATAATAAAAATAAATCTTTTAAAAAATAATAAAAAAAAAAAAAGAAAGAAAGTCAGAGTTACAGAAAGAAGGAGAGACAGAGAGGAAAAGAGATCTTCCATCCACTGATTTACTCCTCAGCTGACCATAATAGCCAAGGTTGAGCCAGGTGGAAATTATAAGGACTGGCAAGATAGCACAAAAGGTGAATTCTCCAGCCTGTGGCACTGGCATTCCATATGAATGCCAATTTGTGTCCTAGCTGCTCCACTTCACATCCAGTTCCCTGCTTGTGGCTTGGGAAAACAGTACAGTACAGGTCAAAGTCCTGGGACCCTGCACCAGTGTGCAGACCCAGAAAAGGCTCCTGATTTTGGATTGACTCAGCTCCAGGCTCGGTGATAATTTGGAGAGGGGAATGAACCAACAAATGGAGGATTTTTCTAACTATCCTTCTCTCTGTAATTCTGCCTTTCAAATAAAATAAAGCAAATCATTTTTTTTTTTAAAAAAAAAGGTGGTGGTTAGTAAAAGGTAGCTTGTGTACCATATCTGGCCTGCCCCCTACTGTGTTATAACTCATAAGCTAAAACTGTTTAAATAATTGAGAAAAAATACCTGGAAGAAAAATGATAATAACTGTCCTTTACTGGAGCTTTATTGAAAGCAGTCTTTCTCATCTGAGTAGTTGTAATAGATCCTGTGACCCACAGAGCCTAAAGGATTTTACTGGTTTGTTCAGATAGTTTGCTGATCCCTGCCTTAAAAGGAGGGCTATATGGATGTTCGACAGTGTGTTAGTCTGCTTGGACTGCAAACCATGATGGCTTGAACAACAAGAAGCTGTTTTCTCATAGTTCTGGAGGCTAAAAGTCCAAGATCAAGGTGGCAACAGAGTTCGTGTCTGTGAGGTCTCCTTGGCTGAGAGCAAGAGCTCTAGTATGCCTTTTTCTTTCTTCCTTTTTTTTTTTTTTTTTAATGTATTTTTGTTGAAAAGTCAGGTTTACAGAGAGGAGACAGAGCCAGAGAGATCTTCCATCCACTGATTCACTCCCTGGAAGGCTGCAATGGCCAGAGCTGAGCCAGTCAAAAGCCAGGATCCAGGAGCCTTTTCTGGGTTTCCCAAGCAGGTGTAGGATCCCAAGGCTTTGGGCTGTCCTCTACTGCTGTCCCAGGTCACAAGCAGGGAGCTGGAAGGGAAGTGGAGCATCCAGGACATATAAAATCTTGGCACTGTGTTCCAGTTCCAGCCCCTGTGTCTCCTACAGTACAGGTCACTGTACTGGCAGATTAGGGTTCCACTCTGTGACCTTAATTATTTCCTTACAGTCACTTTTTCCAAATAACATCACATTGGCAATTCTTCAACAATGTGAATTGGGGTGGAGCAGGGTTCAGTCCCTAACAGTAGTGACCTGGAATACCTTTGTATCATTTTTCTAGTGAAAGTGTAAAATGTGTAACAGTGATTCATGTTCTTGTGATTTTAGGGAAAAGATATCCAACTGGATTTAAAGACCTTCGAAGGCAAGAAGAGATCAATTGTGGAACAAGAGAGCCCCTTAATATTGATGAGGAAGAAGCTTTAAAGCAAGAACACCAACGAAAAGAGAAGGAGCTCTTAGAAAAAATCCAAAGTGCCATAGCATGTACCAATATCTTCCCCTTGGGCCGTGACCGTATGTACCGGCGGTACTGGATTTTCCCTTCCATTCCTGGATTGTTTATTGAGGAGGATTACTCTGGTCTTACTGAAGACATGCTGCTGCCTAGACCTTCATCATTTCAGAATAACATGCAGGCTCAAGATCCTCAGGTGTCCATCAAAACCGAAGAATCCTTGATGTCTGAGCCTACCTCCAGCATGGACCAAGGTCTGCGTGATGACTCTGCGCAGCTGCCTAAACCTGTGCACAAGCCAAACCGGTGGTGCTTTTACAGTTCATGTGAACAACTGGACCAGCTTATTGAAGCCCTTAATTCCAGAGGATACAGAGAAAGTGCCTTAAAAGAAACGTTGTTGCAAGAAAAAAGCAGAATATGTGCACAGCTAGCTCGTTTTTCTGAAGAGAAATTTCATTTTTCAGGTATGTTTTCATTGATAACTATTTATTTCTTCTGTGATCTCTGCTTTTCTGCTTAGAGTTGGGTCTGTGAATTCTTCAGTTCTTCCTAGGAATAAGAAACTATAGATTAAAAAACAACATAGATCACAGTTCCTTCTTTTGAAGAATAGCTTTAACATATCACATACTTAACCTTTGTAAAGTTACAGTTCGTGAGGTCCCGGCATGATGGCTCAGTTGGTTAATCCTCAGCCTTGCAATCGTCAGGATTCCATAAGGGCATTGGTTTGTATTTTGACTGCTCCACCTCCCTTCCAGTTCCCTGCTTGTGGCCTAAGAAAGCAGCAGAGAATGGCCCAGGGCCTTGGAACCCTGCACCCACGTGGGAAACCCTGAGCAAGTTCCTGGCTCCTGGCTTCAGATCAGCTCAGTTGTGGCTGTTGTAGTCACTTAGGAAGTAAACCAGGGGCTGAAAGATCTTTCTCTCTGTCTCTCCTCCTCTCTGTATATCTGCATTTCCAATAAAAATAAATAAATATTTAAAAGAAAAAAAAAGTTACAATTCCTGTGTAGGTGTTCGGTGCAATAATTAAGAACACTGCTTGGGTCACCTACACCAGTCATGGCTCCGTTTCAGATTCCATCTTTGAGCTAATGTGTATGCTGGAGAGAGCAGGTGCTGACAGAAGTATTTGCTTGTCTACCACCCCCATGAGAGGCCCAGGTTGAGCTCTCAGCTCCTGGCTTTGCATGGCTCAGCTCTGGTTATTGTGGGCATTTGGAGGGTGAACAAATTGATGCAAGTGGTTGTCCATGTATCTTTCAAGTAAATAAAACTGTTTCTAAAATATGTAATTCTGTAGTCTTTAATATATTCACAGATCTGTGCTATTATAAGCATTAATTTAGAAGTGTTTGGATCAACCTTGATTTCCATTTGTCCTGAATATATAACTAAGAGCTTGCTCGTGCACGTGGTAACTCAGCTTAATCTTTGGGGAAAGGGCTAGATTGCTTCCCAAAACAAAACTACGTTATTTTCGCTTCACAGTATACGAGGCTTGCAATTTCTCCATGACCTTACTAATAACTTTTTGATTACAGATATTCTACTGAATATGAAGTAACTTTTCTAAGATTTATTTATTTTTATTAGAAAGGCCAATGTTTACAAAGAAAAGGAGAGACAAAGAGAAAGCTCTTCCTTTTGCTGGTTCACTCCCCGAGTGGCCACAGCAGCTGGAGCCAGGCCGATCTGAAGCCAGAAGCCAGAGGTTTCTTCTGGGTCTCCCATGTGGGTTCAGGGGCCCAAGGCTTTGAGCCGTCCTCGACTGCTTTCCCAGGCCACAAGCAGGGAGCTGGAAGGGAATTTGAGTAGCTGGGACACAAATCAGCGCCCATGTGGGATCCAAGTGAATACAAGGGAAAGATTTAGCCACTTGAATACCTTGCCAGGCCTGGAAGATTGAGTTCTTATTTTTTCTGAAACAACTAGGTACTCAATAAAGCTGGAAACCAGAAAGTGGTCACATATAGATTCTCTAATAATACAATTTCTGCAGTGTCCTGGAAAATCCTATCTAAATTCTGACATTCTAACAGTCACATGGTGTGTTTGCCTTTGTTAAGAGAAGTCTTTGATTACAGTTTCAGAAAAGCCTCAAACTGATAGCAAGCCTGTATATACTAGAGGCAAATCTTCCAGTGCGTGTGATTCATCTCAGATGTCTGCAGAAAAGCAACTTGAACTGAGACTGAGAGATTTTCTTTTGGATATTGAAGACAGGATCTACCAGGGAACATTAGGAGCAATCAAGGTTTGTACCTTTTCCCTTTTTTAGTGTATATAATTTGCTTATTTAAGGTTGAAGTCATACTTGTTCTTTTTGTTTTGAAATATAAGGCACCTGTGTTTCAAATAAAAACCTAGGAGTGATTGTTTTAAGTGTATGCTCCTACACAAAATATTTATAGATTAGTATATGTCTGTTTTAAATATACTGTATAACTGTTTTCATAAACAATTTAACATGAGAGGCATCAATTTTTAGTATTTTTACCATATGCTTTTTCTAATATTTTCACCAGATTTTAAAATGCATCAGGATATTCTCTAGACCAGCTCCTGTATTCTCAGCTAGTCTGATTGGTTTGTTTATATTACCTATTTAAAATCTCTTAAGTGGAGCCTAGTTGTCTGGCTCAGTGGCTAAATCCTTGCCTTGAAAGCTCCAGGTTCCTATGTGGGCACTGGTATGTATCCTGGCTGCTCCACTTCCCATCCAGCTCCTTGCTTGTGTCCTGGCAAAGCAGTCAAGGGCAGCCCAAACCCTTGGGATCCTGTGCCCACCTGGAATACCCAGAAGAAGCTCCTGGCTTTGGATTGGCTCAGCTCTAGCCATTGCAGCCACTTAGGGAGTGAACCAGTGGATGGAAGATCTTTCTGTCTGTATCTCCTTCTCTTTGTAAATCTGCCTTTCCAATAAAAACAAACCTTTAAAAAAAATAAAAAAGTAAAATCTCTGTTTAGTTATACTTAATATTTTTTATGTCAAGTACAATATATATTTGTTTTGTTTTTTTAAGATATATTTATTTTTATTGGAAAGGCGGATATACAGAGAGGAGGAGAGACAGAGAGGAGGATCTTCCGTCCAATGATTCACTCCCAAAGTGACCGCAACAGCCAGAGCTGAGCCAATCTGAAGCCAGGAGTCCAGAGCCTCTTCTGGATCTCCCATGTGGGTGCAGGGTCCCAAAGCTTTGGGCTGTCCTCAGCTGTTCTCCCAGGCCACAAGCAGGGAGCTGGATGGGAAGTAGAGCCTCTGGGATTAGAACCAGCGGCCATATGGGATCCCGGCATGTGCAAGGCAAGGACTTAAACCACTACGTTATCGTGTTGGACTGATATATATGTTTTTATGACAGTTTTTTTGCTACTATCAAATGAACAGTCTTAAAATTGATAGTGTTTTCTTCAAATATAGAAAATGAGGTATTAAAACTTTCATCTATGAATGATATGAATACCATTTTGATCACTTAGTGACCTTAGTTTTAGATTTTTTTTTTATTCAGAATTTGTTTTAGGATATCTAATACCCCATTTTATAAATTCATTGGCCTTCCTGTCTCTTATGATTGATATGTACCTTTTTTCAGGGCTAATAATTTGGATTTTGTTGCAGGTTGCAGATCGACACATCTGGAGGTCAGCCTTAGAAAGCGGGCGGTATGAGCTGTTGAGTGAGGAAAACAAGGAAAATGGGATCATTAAAGCTGTGAATGAAAGTGTAGAAGAAATGGAAATTGATGAACAAGCAAAGGTCATAGTAAAAGACAGGTATAAACGTTTTTTCTGAAATTTATTGTGAGAACCTTAATATTTTTTTCATTTTTGAACCATCATCATAATTTGTTTCCAGAACTTTTTCAACACTTGAAACAACTCTGTTCCCATTCCAATGAATTGCCATCCCCGTTCCACTAAGATCTTAATATTTCTAACCACTGAAAATATTTTTTTAAACTTCAGTGTCTGTTACTTATGCACTAATGCAACCAAAAGATAACTCATTAAACTAAATATTTCTCAGGATTTTTTTTTTAATCTTTGAGATTAAAACTTTTATTAACTTCAGGAAATAACTGCTGCTTTTCTGTGTAGGAAAACTTCGAAAATTTTAGTAGACTAAAATATTAGTTGAACTATTAATCAGAGTCTGTATCTGTAAATCAACAGATACTTCTACTTTTCAAGGTTATTTTTAACCACTGTATGCTCTTAGGCAGTTTTTCATTTGGAAGGGAATTGTAGAGAGACATGAAGACAGCAGTTACAGAACAGGGCAGGGCTGTGTGGAAGGTTGGATGCTCAGTGCAGATCTACGTACGACGTGGGAGGACTGCTTGTCTTAGTGAAACATGGAAAATAGTGAGTGCCTGCCTGCTGAGCTCTGAAGGTGGCACAAAGAGGAGGGACCTTGTACAAGGGCTTACAATTCCTAGGATTACACTTCTGGCAGTTACTTTAGCTGGGCCGTGGAGATTTATTGCTAGAAGGACCAGAAGGCAAGTTAACGTACCATTTAGGAGACAGCTGTAAGTGCCCTATCAAGAAACTGAAAAAAGAGGCAAAGAAAATCTGAGGCTACAGAAATGGGAATGAGCTGCCTGAGCTGTGTGGACTGTAAGGTCCGTGATGATGTCACCCCTCCAGGTTCTTTCCCACAAGCCCTCTCTGCCTCTGCTGTCTGTCCTCTGCCCTCCTGATTGAATATCCTCCCTAACCCTGAAGGTGTACCACAGCCCAGAAGCTGAGGGAAGGATTCTCACACAGTTGGAGAGAGCAGTTAAATAAATTAATGGGCTAAAGTTTCTGAAAATTCAGGGATTGCATTTTTATTTTTTTTGTAACTGTTTTTAATCATCATAAAGTCTTGATTGTCTTCATTGTAGACTTTTGGGTATAAAAACAGAAACTCCAAGTACTGCCTCAACTACCACAAGTACGCCACAGCCGGTGAGCAGGGTGGTTCATCATCTGGCAGGGGCGCTCTTTCAGATAGAGCAGGGCATTGAGCGGCGTTTTCTCAAAGCTCCACTAGGTAAGGATCTGTTTTTAAAGTTCTCTCTTAATTAATGGGATTTTAGGGGCTAACATAAACAAATTGATGACTTTTAAGAAATGTATGCTACGTTTTTATTTTAAAAGGTGCGTTTTTAAGCATCATTTGTCTGATTCACTCCAGATTTTTTTTTTTTTTAATAAAAAATACCACTCAGAAGAAGTCATTTTACTTACCAATAAAAAAGACAGGGAGCTATACAATGGATCGATTCAGTAATCCTTAGATTGCAAGCACCATCATCCCATAAGGGTACCAGTTTGTGTCCTGACAGCTCTACTTCCCATCCAGCTCCCTGCTTGTGGTCTGGGAAAGCAGTCGAGGATGGCCCAAAGCCTTGGGATCCTGCACAACATGGAAGACCTGGAAGAAGCTCCTGGATCCTGGTTTTGGATCAGCTCAGCTCTGGCCATTGCAGCCACTTCAGGCATAAACCAGTTTTGGAAGATCTTTCTCTCTGTATCTCCTTCTTTCTGTATATCTGCCTTTTCAATAAAAATAAAATTTAAAAAAAAGATTAAAAAAAAAGAATTGATAAGGTGAATGAGATATGCTTTCATATGTACAGAAATAAAGGCCAAAACTAAGTGCTGGCACCATGGCATTATACTTAAGCCTTCACCTGCAGTGCTGGCATCCCATGTGAGCGCTGATTTAGGTCCTGGCTGCTCCACTTCCATTCCTCTCCATCATTCTAGAACTAATCACATTGATAGCACCAAGTTTTTCTAGAGAAAATAATCATTTGAAAAAAGTAAATGAGAAAAAAAAAGGTAACAATTTAGTGGATAATTTTAGATAAACTGTGGACATTGTTTATGTCAAGTCATGCTTATGATTAAACGCTTAGGTTATGAAAAGAATTCTCAACTATTAATTTGAAATTAGGTAACAGAAATTAATAAAGATCAAAAGGCAAATTAAAAAGAACAAGAAAAATCAGTCTTGTGTGAGAGTAAATTTTCAGCTTTTTAAAGAGACTTTTGCTTTTTCTTTAAGGATTTATTTTACATTTTAAAAGGTTTACTTATTTTATTGGAAAGGCAGATTTATAGAGCGAAAGATCCGCCCACTGGTTCACTCCTCAAGTATCTGCAACAGCTGGAGCTGAGCTGATCCAAAGCCAGGAGTTTCTTCTGGGTCTCCCACATGGGTGTGCAGGGTCCCAAGGCTTTGGGTCATCTTCTGCTGCTTTCCCAGGCTACGAGGAGGGAGCTGGATAGAAGTAGAACAGCTGGGATATGAACCAGTGCTCATGTAAGATCCCGGCGCTTGCAGGGGTAGCATTAGCCAGTCAACCTTAGTGCTGGACTCCATTCTACTTTTTATATTGCTGAATACTAATATGCATTTAGTTTTGTTTTGTCTTGTTTTTATTGGAAAGTCAGATATACAGAGAGGAAAATCTTTCTGTTCATTGGCTCACTCCCCGTGCAGCTACAACAGAGTTGAGCCAACCCGAAGCCAGGAGACAAGGAGCTTCTTCCAGGTCTCACACATGTGCAGGATTCCAAGGCTTTGGGCCATCCTCGACTGAATACCCAGGCCACAAGCAGGGAGCTGGATGGGAAGCGGAGCTGCCGGGATTAGAACCAGCGGCCATATGGGATCCCGGCATGTGTGCAAGCAAGAACTTTAGCTGCTGGGCTACCACATGAGGCCCAATATGCATTTAGTTTTTCAAGGAAAACGTTATATTTGATCCTTTGAAGTCAAAATGGGCTTACAAAACAAAATCTTAACAGTTTGCTTTCTACATTTTATGCTTCTACCAATCAGACTCTTAGTTTGGCATATATGAGTACAAAGCTGAGGCTGCTGGTCCTTGCGACACTTAGCTTTTACTGAAAAGAATGCCCAACTATGAAGCTTCTGTTTACTTTTTTCTACAAAGCACTTATTCACAGCTTTTTTTTTTTTCTTTTTTTTTTGTAACTTTTGTTAGCATAGGGAGAACTATAGGGCCACTAGAGGGACCTGTAGTGTGTGGCTACATGGATTACTGTAAAGCAAAGGAAACAACAGAAAAGTTGAACCAATTACATATGTATTTGTTAGCCTTATTACCTCAGGCTACTCTGCCGGACCCAAAATATTTCTACATAAATATTAGTGCTGGGCAGGGCTTTGGTGCTGCAGTTGAATCACCACTCGGGATCCCTGAGACTCTGATGCACATCTTGGCTGCTCTGCATCTGGTCCAGCTGTGTGCTGTGCTGCCCCTGTGCCAGAGACCCAGGCTGCCTGCCAGCCTCTTAGGCCAGGCCTGCTCTGTACGGGCATGTGCGGAATGAACCTCTGGATAGATGAGCTCTCTGTGTCTCTGTTTCTCTACCTTTCAAATAAACTGAAAATAAATTTAAAAACTTTTAAAATATTAGTGGTGAAAATTACTCTTGGGAAATACTAGCAATACTTAATTTAAAAATAGTTTCTAAAGTGTTAAATGCAGTGGCTTTTACATGTTCACCATTTACAGCCAGCCATTACCACCATCTAATACCAGAATATTATCATCAATCCCAAAAGAAACCTCATACACACTTTAAATTATAAGATAATATATCTTTAATATAAAATGAGGAGGTGACATACTTGACTTAATAGTAACATCATTTTTCAATGGCTTTCTAAATTAAATCAATTTGATGCAAAAAATTTGATTGAAGACACATTACTTTATTTTCCTTTTACTGTTGACTTTAGCCATTATGCTATCGCGCCGGGCCCTTCCTTTTACTGTTGAAATCCGCAGTCATTTGATTTGCATATTTAAAGAATTCCTTATGTCCATAAATAAGATGTAGCTCAGTTGATATTTTCTAAAGATACTTTCTAAAGTCAGCTTGGTGTTTTTATCACATGGCAGAAAAAAATTTTTTTAACCTGTCATGAAAATAATTCCAAGGGATGTGAAGATTTGCCTTGAAATTGTTTAATCATCTTCCCATTTCATTTAAGATGCCAGTGACAGTGGACGTTCTCATAAAACCGTTCTTGACCGTTGGAGAGAGTCTCTCCTTTCCTCTGCCAGCCTCTCCCAAGTCTTCCTGCACCTGTCCACCTTGGATCGCAGTGTGATATGGTCAAAGTCAATACTGAATGCTCGTTGTAAGATATGCCGGAAGAAAGGGGATGCTGAGAACATGGTGCTTTGCGATGGCTGTGACCGGGGTCATCACACCTACTGCGTTCGACCAAAGCTCAAGGTACTTTTTTTAACCTCTACACATTGTAACATGGCATCGTTGAGATTTTCAGCAGCAGATGGTTGAGGATCACTCACATGACTGTTTTTCAGACCGTGCCTGAAGGAGATTGGTTTTGTCCAGAATGTCGACCAAAGCAGCGTTCTAGAAGACTCTCCTCTAGACAGAGACCATCCTTGGAAAGTGATGAAGAAATGGAAGACAGTCTGGAAGGTGAGGATGATGACGTTGATGATGATGATGAAGAGGGTCAAAGTGAGGAGGAAGAATATGAGGTAGAAGAAGCTGAAGATGACTCTCAAGAAGAGGAAGCAGTCAGGTGAGTGTTCCCGAGCAGTACAGGAGAGGCCCAGGCCCGCAAGTCGGTCTCGGGGTTGTGCAGATGCACTGGTCAGCGGCCATCATTTTTTTAGGCTAACGTGTAATATGACAGCCTTAAGGTACCCTTGCTTTTTCCAAGACATTCCTGAGAAATGGATGGTCTTGGCCATCTGTAGATGGAAGAGTGATGCCAAAAGTTTGCTGTGTTTTCTTCCCGTACCCCTGCTGAATCAGCCCCAGAAAGAACTTCTGTAATAGCATATAATCAAGTGTTCTGCTGCATAGCCCGTGTGTCATCCAGCCTTGAGGGGCCCCAGTGTTTGCACTGTGGCCACACTGGGGCAGTCTCCCCTTGTTTGATGCATTTTTCGGGGATAGAGTGAAAGGCTACCTTCCTAGTGCATAAACTAGACTTACCTACTGGGACCTTTCTGTCACAGGCCTGCCAGTCACAGCAAAGGGAGTCATTGCTCTTTTTCTAACCATGCCTTCTACCTTACCTTTTAAACATCTGAAGCTCCTTTTCTTGCAGTTAGGGAGTTGAATGCAAAGCAAGGGCAAGCTAGAGCTATCAAAGTACAAAGGCCCACAGAGAGGGCGAGTAGAGGTTGAGCTGCTTCCTGGTTAAAGCAAGTTTAAGAGTACCAGCCTATCTTGCTGCTTGTGTGGGCTGCATTGTGTTAGGGGTAAAGATATAAAGAATTTGGGGAATTCTTGTTAATACTCTAGGCAAACTGGAAGCCCATGGGTGATGTATAAAAAGGAGATTTAATGGGGTTGCTTTTAAATCTAGTTTTGGATTATACAATCAAGATCAGGAAAGAGCATCGAGATTCTTGGCTTGGTGTTCAGCACCTGCAAGTTAAAGTCCTACTTCGGTGGCAGCCATCGCCTGTAACTGTGTTTAAAGAGGTTACCATGATTTGGAATCTGATTTTCATGGTAATGTACAGGCGTTAACAAGAAAACACTAAGTATTCTGTTTGCATTTCACAGAAATGCTTGACAACAAACTTCAGGATTCTTTGAAATGTTGCAACCTAAGCTTAAAAAGATGAATATAGGGAAAGCAATTTATACGGAACTTGTGTAAAACAAGAGGAATGGAAATACTTGTATTTGGTTTTTTGCCATGTGCAATGATTGTGTTTTCTAATGATGCTTTTAGCCCACCAAAACGAGGACGACCACAAGTGAGATTGCCAGTTAAAACAAGAGGGAGGTTTAACTCTTCTTTCTCAAGTCGTGGCCAACGACAAGATCCAGGAAGATACCCTTCAAGGAGCCTGCAAAGCACACCCAAAGCAGCTGTTTATTCCAGAACTCCTGGTAGAAACCTAAGGAAGATAAAATCTGCTCCTCCCACGGAAACAAAATCTTTAAGAATTGCCAGTCGTTCTACTCGCAATAGTCCTGGGCTGCTGCAGACAGACGTTTTTGTGGAACTGCTGAGCCCTCGAAGAAAACGCCGAGACAGGACAAGTGCTAATAATTCAGGAAATAGTCCCGACATCCCTAACTTAAGAGTCATTGCCACAAAATCAAGTGGGCAGTCAAGAACTTTTGATTCTGCTTCAAAGCTCTCTCTCCAAGACAGTGAATCCAAGAGACGGGGCAGGAAAAGACAGTCTACAGGTAGGAAGGATCTAAATTTAATTCTTCCTTTAAAAAAATTAAATAACTTGGAGGTACCTCACATTGAGATACTTCAGATGGTTTTCTAGGGCTTTCACTAAGACCCCAGCAATCTGAAGTCCCTTCCTTGAAGGGAATACTATTTGGAGAATTAAGGAACAATGTTACTGATCTTTCCACTATTAAGAACAATAATACAGTAAATTTACAGTGTTCTGTTTTTAGATTTGGGGGTTTTGTTTGCTTTAACTTAGTTTAGCTTATTTATTTAAAAGGCAGAACAATCAAGAGCAAAAAAATCTTCCATCTGATAGCTCCACAAATGTCTACTAGCCAGAGAAGAACTAGCCTGCAACAACCAGGGAGAGGGCTAAATGTCTGGAACAGCCAGGGATGTGCCATGCCAAAGCCGAGGGCCAGGAACTCCAGCTGGGTTTCCTATGGGGGAGGCAGGGAACCAAGTGGTTGATCCATCATCTTCTACCTCCCATGATGCACTTAGCAGGAGGCTGGGTTGGAAGTAGAGGCAAGATTGCATTGCAGTCATTCCATTCTGGGATGATTCAATAGCTGTGTTCTTTGTCTTTTCATTCCTGTCCCCTTTTTAAAAATATTCATAGTAACAAAATTTTGACATTTCCTCCAAAAAGGAGACTTGACCCAGCATTAGCTGCTGCAGGCATTTGGAGAATGAACCAGCAAGTGGAAGATAGCATATTCACTCATTTTCTTTCTTTCTTCCTTTTTTTTTTCTTTCTTTGTTTCTTTGTTTTTCTTTCTCTTTGTCACTGTGTGTGTGTGTATGTGCCTTTCAGATAAATAAACCTCTAAAAAACAATTAAAAGTGTGTCCATATACTAAAATTTTATAAGGAGAATCCCTGAGAATCACTTTATCATCATGCAAGGTAATTTATATACAGGCCAAGTTTACAGATCTAAAAAGAGTATTTACCATCTAAAAACATGTTTGGAAATTTGGGTACCAGAACTGCTTAATTTCATATTCCTATTGTTGAAAATGTGTCTAATATTAGGTATTTATTTTGTATTAGCTCGTTTTGTAATCTGTTCCCAATGAATGTTTAATTCAGTTGGAAAATTTTTTTAAGTCAAAAAGGAAATGGTGAGTATTTTGTCCCACCTTTCGTCTCTTAAGAAAATAAGTTAACATCCCAGGCCTAGAGTCTCTGTTCATTTTGGTTTGTGTTTTTAGTTCTGTTTAGCTTGTGATGATGAGCATTTTGCCTTGTTTTAACCATTTACTTAGAGTCATCTCCTGTGACACTGAGCCGAAGGAGTTCTGGCAGACAGGGAGGAGTTCATGAACTGTCTGCTTTTGAACAGCTTGTTGTGGAATTGGTACGGCATGATGACAGTTGGCCATTTCTGAAACTTGTTTCTAAAATCCAGGTAATAATATTACTAGACGTCTTAAAATATGCTCACGTGTGTTATCTGCTTTGCTCTGCTTGGCAGCTGGGAAGCACTTGAAAACACTTGTTATTGACTGTTTTTAGAAACCCAGCTGCAGGTTTGGTTGCTGTAGTGAATGGGGAAATAGATAGCAAATTCTTTGGTTACTTTTATTTTTTCCCTTCAGTAACTTCTAATTCTGTGTTGATTCTTTATAAATAATGACAGTATGTTAAAATAACTTCTGTGTTTTGAGCAAAGACTGAACGGAACTAATTCAAATAAGTACCATTAATTCTTACATAAAACAGTGATTCTCAAATTTTCATATTCATCAGAATGAGTTGGAAGACTTGTGAAAACAGAGTTTAGGAGCAAGTGTTTGGGCTACTTTTAAGACATTGTGTCCCAGATTAGAGTGGCTGTGGTTCTCACTCTAGCTTCCTGCTAATGCACTCTCGGGGAGGCAGAGGTGATGCTCCTGGGGATTGCGTTCTTGGCTCCCGGCCTGGGCACTGAAACAGCACCAGGAATTTAGGGAAGGAACGGATGGGAACTGCTCTGTCTCGGCCTGATTCTCTGTCAAACTATTTCTGGGCTCCACCCCCAAAATTTTGATTCACTAGGTCTGGGATGTTTTGTATTCAGACCCAGTGATGCAGATGGCTTGGTCTAGAGATCATTTTAAAAGGGGGGGTTAGGTACTCTTAAGTAACAGCAATGGCGTAACACAGGATAAGGAGGTAGTGCTGTGGTGTTGGTGTTGGTGTGCTGAACATGAAGTGCTCTGAAGAGAGAGAGAACAGTTAGCAGAGCCAGCAGTGAGAAAGGGGGACGGCAGCTAGTGGGAACGGGCAGAGGGTGTGTGGGAGAGACTCACAGGACTGGGCTGCAACAACTCTTCAGTGTGTTGATGATGCTTGCTCAGTGAAAAGGTGACATCATCAGACTTGTGCTTGGAGAGCGCTAGAGCAAGAGCATCAGGGATCAACTAGTACTGAACAGCTAGTTATGTGTGTAAAACAAATTCAACTTTGTGTACCTATCTACAGCAAGTAAGAACAATGACTAAGCTCATAATTTTTTTTCCTTTTCATAGTAGATTTTTGATGGTATCAAATAGACATCTGCAACATGCCTGAATATGTCACATGATTTTAATGGACTAGTAGTAGTCAGGAGTGAATATGAAGTAGTATTAAACCACTTTTTTGCTGCAAAAACTTTATGTATTATACTAATTTCCAATAAATTTCTGTATGAACGTAGATATTTTGAATTATTTTACAGGTCCCAGATTACTATGACATCATTAAAAAGCCCATTGCCTTAAATATAATTCGTGAAAAAGTGAATAAATGTGAATATAAGCTAGCGTGTAAGTAATGTTTTCATCATTTCTATTTTAAAAAATAAAAAGTTTTATTTAAAATTTTTATTTAAAAAGCTAGAGGGGGTGGTTTGTTTGTTTGCTTTAAGTAATGTTATGTTAACAAAGTTATGTACGTTGGTACATGTGGCAATGAAAGATGGATTAAGAGTGTATGAGTTAGGGCCCAGCATGGTAGCCTAGCGGCTAAAGTCCTCACCTTGAACGTTCCTGGATCCAGTATGGGAGCCGGTTCTAATCCAGTTCCCTGCTTGTGGCCTGGGAAAGCAGTTGAGGATGGCCCAAAGCCTTGGGACCCTACACCTGCGTGGGAGACCCAGAGGAGGCTCTGAGCTCCTTTGGATCAGCACAGCTCCAGCTGTTGCGGCTGCCTGGGGAGTGAATCATTGGACAGAAGATACCTCTCTGTGTATCTGACTTTCTAATAATTGTGTAATTCCAATAACAGTTTTGAAGTTAACAGTTGAAAGCCTAACTTCTGCTGCCTTGTTTTAGAATATTCTCTAAGAAAAAAGTGGGCTTCCTTTCTTATGAGGTTTCAGTGTGATACAAGTAAATGTTAAATTTATGATTTATGTACTTTCATTCTAATCTTGTTTGTTTTTTTCTCTCCAGCTGAGTTTATTGATGACATTGAGTTAATGTTTTCCAACTGCTTTGAGTACAACCCTCGTAACACAAGTGAGGCCAAAGCTGGAAGTAGGCTTCAAGCATTTTTCCACATTCAGGCACAAAAGCTTGGACTCCATGTCACGCCCAATAACGTGGACCAAGTTAGCACACCTCCTGCTGCCAAAAAGTCACGAATCTAATTCTATCCTTCTAAAGGATATATTGAGGAAAAAGAAATTGTTCATGAAAAAGGAACATTAAATCATGCTCTAAAGCAGACGTATCTATAAAGCAATAACAACAGATTGACCACATTGAAGTGTGGCCTGCACTATATTCTCAATTTTATATTAAGCACTCAGGAGAATGTAGGAAAGATTTCTTTGCTACAGTTTTGTTCAGTATCTAATAAGTTTGATAGCTGTATTGGATACAGTACTGGTTTACAGAGGGATTTGTACATTTTGAGATCATTCATGTGTCCATTTTTTTAACCTGTGATTTATTTTGTCATTTGATTTTTTTTAGAATTCATGGTGTTAAGGGAGATATATTTGAACAGATAAATCTCCTGTGGCATGATATAGAAAAATGGATTTAGGTCTTAAGAATTGTTGGGTGAGCGCTTTCTTTCAACACTACACATGAATGGATCCAATGTTATATCTTTGAAGTGCTGTACCAGTACTGGCTGGAGGTATTAAGTCTGAGTTTATTAACTAGATATTTATTTAGCAGTCAAGATAATTTGTGAATTTGTTTTGTATTTATAAAATTTATACCTGGAAACTGTTCTTTAATTTTTTAAACATTTTGCTGTGGTTTTGTTTTATTTTTCTGACTTCCTTAATGATCAATCAAAACAGGTAACACCCTCCCCTGTCCCTGACAGTTCTTTTGGTTTTACAGAGCTGTTCCAAGTTGCTTTGTGCAACTTTTCAAGTGTACAAATAAAATGATACTTTTTTCAAGTATTCTTTGCTTTGTGACTTTTTTTAGTGATCCAGAAGAATTGTGTGTGTGAGTTTATTTCTGTATTTTGTGTGTATGTGTTCATACCTCTTTCTTAGATGTGGAAAACGGGAGCCTGGGTTTGGCAGCCAAAGCTTTCCCTTTTAAGGATGCAAAAGGAAACCCTGCTAGAACTTGTTGGCAAACAGGAGAAAGAACCTTCCTCCTAACTTCTAAATCATCAAGATGCTGCATTTTATTTAGTGAGGTTAGCTTAGGGATGGACATTTAGCAGTAGTCAAGTGTCACTTGTCACAGTATCACTTGCACACTTGTATCCCATATTGGAGTATCTGATTCCAGTCCCAACTCCTCTGTTTCTGATAAAACTTCCTGTTGATGCACAGACTTGGGGAGGCAGCAGATGACGCCTTAAGTACTTGGATCCCTGCCAACCCACAGGGAAACCCCAGATTGGGTTCTAGGTGACAGGCTCAGTCCTGACACAGTGCTGACTGTTGTGGGGTAACCGAAACAGGAAGTGAGCAAGAAGAAGAAAATCTCTATCCTTTTTCCTCCCTATATATAACTCTGTCGTTCAAATAAACAATTTTTAATTGGCATGTAATTCGTTCTTTGTTTTGTTTTTTAAAGAATCATTTATTTATTTTATTGGAAAGGCAGATGTACAGAGAGGAGGAGAGACACAGAGGAAAATCTTCCATCCCATGATTCACTCCCCAGGTGACCGCAACAGCCAGTGCTGTGCCGATCTGAAGCCAGGAGCCAGGAACTTCTTTCCATGTCTCAAACGGGTGCAGGGTCCCAAGGCTTTGGGCTGTCCTCAACTGCTTTCCCAGGCCACAAGCAGGGAGGTGGATAGGAAGTGGAGCTGCTTGGATTAGAACCAGCGCCCATATAGGATCCTGGTGTGTTCAAGGCAAGGATCTTAACCGTTATGCTATCACGCTGGGCCCAAATTGGCATATAATTCTGAAAAATATAATTGTTAATCTGAAAGTGTGTCGTAGGGTCCAGTGCAGTGGCTTACTGGCTAAATCCTTGCCTTCCGTGCAGCAGGATCCCATGTGGATGCCAGTTCATGATCTGGCTGCTCCACTTTCTATCCAGGTCCCTGCTTGTGGCCTGAGAAAGCAGTGGAGGATGGGCCAAAACCTTGGGACTCTGCACCTGTGTGGGAGACATGGAAGAGACTCCTGGCCCCTGGCTTTGGATCAGCTCAGCTCCAGCTGTTGCGACCACTTGGGGAGTGAACCAGTGGACAGAAGGTATTTCTGTATCTCTTTCTCTGTATCTGCCTTTCCAATAAAAATAATAAATCTTTAAAAAAAAAAAAAACTGTCACAGGCCCAGTGTGGTGGCCTAGCAGCTAAAGTCATCGCCTTGAACGCTCTGGGATCCCATATGGGTGCTGGTTCTAATAATGGTGACCCACTTCCCATCCAGCTCCCTGCTTGTGGCCTGGGAAAACAGTTGAGGACAGCCCAAAGCCTTGGGACCCTGCACCTGCATGGGAGACCTGGAGGGATTCCTGGCTCCTACTTTCAGATTGGCTCAGTTCCCTCCAGCCATTGCTCTCACTTGGGGAGTGAATCATCGGATGGAAGATCTTCCTCTCTGTCTCCCTCTCTGTATTTCTGCCTTTTCAATTAAAATAACTTTTTTTTAAAACCTCACAAATCACAGTTTATTTTGCACATTTTTTCTTCACACTCAAAGCAAGACCTCTTTTAAAAGAACACATGTGCTTAAAAGATTTGTTTTTTACTTGAAAGGCAGTTAGAGAGAGCTTCCATCTGCTGTTTTCACTCCTCAAGTGGCCACAATGGTCAGAGCTGAGCTGATCTGAAGCAAAGAGCTTCTTCAGGGTCTCCCACATGCGTGCAGGAGCCCTAGGAGTTAGGCCCTTTTCACTGTTTTTGCAGGCTTCAAACAGGTAACGGGATCTGTAGTGGAGCAGCCAGGACTCCAGCCTCCTGTGCCACAGCGCCAGTGCCAGAATAAGACCTTTTAATTAGTTCAATGTTTTTATACACAAAAACTCATTTTTTCCGTATATATCCATACTAAGTATAACATTTCATACAATTATGGAAGGCACAGCACAGTGGCAGAGCAACGCCGGCATCCCCATAGGGCTCCCACCCACCCTGACCCAACCCAGCATTTGTAGGCACTTGCCGAGTGAATCAGTGGATGGAAACACTCTGTCCCTCTGCCTTTCAGATAGATAAAATATTAGTGATTATCAAAAATATATATGAAATAGAAACAAAGTTGGAGTAGAATTTTCCAGGTTGCTTTCTTTGGCAAGATGGAATTCTGACATACAATTTGTGTTTCCACACACAGTTGTCATTTTCTTGGAGTATTCAATTCTGGCTATAATAATTAAATCTTCTATAATTAACTCATACTTCAGTCAAAGCACTGGAGAGGGTTAGGCATGTGGCCGGGGTGGTCCCATCCCTGAGTGCCTGGCTCTGACTCCTAACTTCAGCCTTCTGCTAATGCAGTCCCTAGAGGGCAGCAGTGACAGCTCAAGTAATTGGCTTCCTGCTCTCTGCATGTAACTGGATAGAGTTCCTGGCTCCTGCTGTAACCTCAGCTCCAAACCATTGCAGGCGTCTGGAGACAGTCTCAGTGGGAGGAGTTAGCGCTCGCCTGTCTCTTATAGTTGGATAATTGATTTACCTTACCAGGTGATGTGACAGTACCATCTCAGGATGGAGATAAAGGAGCCAATGATCCTTGGAAGGAAAATGGAAAACCCTGTAGAATAGAAGGTAAAAATATCTAACAAAAATCAACTTCAAATTGATGGGCTCCATTGTGAACAGTTTGACCGCATCTGGTAGAATTAGAGAAAACAAGTTGAGTGTTTCTAACATGCATAAAAATCTTAGCTGAGGGCCCGGCTCAGTAGCCTAATGGCTAAATCCTCACATTGCACGTGCTGGGAACCCATATGGGTGCTGGTATGTGTCCTGGCAGCCCTGTTTCCCATCTAGCTCCCACCTGTGGCCTGAGAAAGCAGTGGAGGATGCCCAAAGCCTTGGGGTCCTGCTTCAAATCAGCTAGCACCAGCTGTTGCAGCCACTTGGGGAATGAATCAGCAGACAGAAGATCCTCCTGTCTCTTCTCCTCTCTGTATATCTGACTTTCCATAAATAAATAAATAAATCTTAAAAAAACAAAAAAACCTAGCTGATTAAAGGCTCTTTGCTTGAACTCTGCTGGTACAGCTACAGACACCTGCCTCTCCCCGGAATATGCAAGAAGCTCTTGGTTTCTTATGTGTGGAAACTCCAAAGACAATGAATCCCCTTCCCACCTCATTGTGATCTTTTCCTACATTTTAATTAACAAAAACCATAAATGCATGATGTGTTGAAATATGTGTATACACTAAGTGGAGCTAATTAACACATGCATTCATTTTTTTTTCTGGTAAAGACAGTTAAAGTCTGCTGGTGAATTTCGGAGAACACATACATACATACATACTTAGTGTGATCACCAAGTGTACAAAAGACCTCTTGAACTTACTGCTTGTATCTGAGTGAATGTTGCGTTCCCGGCCCTTGCCCAAACCCAGGCCTCCAGTAACCGCCGTCTGGCCTCTGCCCCGTGAACTCTGCTTTTCTCGATTCCCAGCGTCAGTGAAATTGCGTAGTCTTTGTCTCCGTGCCTGACATACTTCACCTAAGACTAAGTTGTCCAGTTTCATCTCTTTTTTCATAAAACAGGATAGATATATATACATTATATATCCTTTTTGAAGACTAGTGTCCACAGTCTAAAATTTTTTGGCACCAAAATTAACTTTTAAATTTCATTTCAATGAAAATGGAGGACTAGGGCTCAGTGGGATGGCTCAGTGGCTAAATCTTCATGTTGCCTGTGTCAAGAATCCATATGGGTGTCAGTTTGTGTCCCGGCTACTCCACTTCCCATCCAGCTCCCTGCTTGTGGCCTGGGAAAGTAGTAGAGGATGGCAAAGCCTTGGGATCCTGTACCTACGTGGGAGACCCGGAAGAAGCTCCAGGCTGCTGGCTTCAGATCAACTCCATTGCACCTATTTGAAGAGTGAACCAGCAGATGGAACATTTCTCCATAAATCTGATAAGCCTTTCCAATAAAAAATATTTTTAAAAAAGGTAAAGCAGTTGTAATCAGAGCAGCTTGTGGTATAAGAGGTGTTTCGTTTGGCAGTTAGCATGCCCCCAGCGCCAACTCTGACACAAAACCTGACAAGGCGCTGGTTATGGCCTAAGTAGTTGGATCCCTGCCATCCACATGGGAAAGCTGGGATGGAGTTCCCAGTTCCAGACTTTGATGTGACCCAGCTCTGCTGTAGTGGGCATTGAGGGGTTGACCAGTAGGTAGAAGACCTCCACACCTCTGCCTTTCAGATAAATATATGCATCTGGAAAATGGAATTAAAAGATAAGCGTATCTTGGTGCAAAAAAAAAAAAAGTCCATGCATATTTCCATAATATACACTTCCCAGGAACTCCTTAGACAATCCATTTAAGTAGGCATACATAAGGGGAAAACTATCATTGTTGTTTTGTTATTTTTATTTATTTACTAGAAAGGCAGAGTGACAGAGATGGGGAAGAACAAAGAGCCAGAGAGCTCTTCCACCTGCTGATTCACTCCTGAAACAGCCACAATACCTAGTGCTGGGCCAGATATAAACCAGGAGCCCGGAACTCCATCTGGGTCTCCCTCAGGGGTGGCAAGTACTTGGGTCATGTGCTGCTGCCTTCCCAGGAGCACTAGCAGGGAGCACAATCAGGAAGCAGACAGTTGAGATGCAGACCGGTACACTGATACAGAATGCCAGCATTGCAATCAGACTTAGCCTGCTGTGCTCCCAAAACTGACCTACTATTTCTTAAACTGTCCAAATAGCGACAAAGAGGGACACTGGCTAAAAATACTGAGGGAAAAAAAATTCTTTTATAATGAAATCACTTCTTAGAGTGTCATTTT